AGCCAAAATATGATAAACTTTTAAAAAAAGGTATATGATTCCACTTTATAGTGGTGTAGAGAAAAAATCAGGAGTTTCTACAGAAAAACACTTCTCTAGAAGGCAAAGGTACACACACATTAATTGATTCCTTTAAAAGGTTTTTAAGAGTAGTTTTTTTGTATTTTGCACAGACCATTTTTATTTCCATGAAGTCATAAAAATCTTTTGTTTTTGTATGATAAATACTGTTTATGTGTGTAAATATGGGGTGTATTTAATGTTGTGTGTAAATGTTGTGTGTATGTATATAAATGCTGTATGGATTTGTTGTGTGTAAGTTTTGTGTTTAAATATTGTTTGTGTGTGTGTTTGTGTGTTGGGGTGTTTGTGTGTGTGTAGATCTATGTAAATAAACTGTCTGGAATTTATCATTCCAAGTTTCCGTCTGACAAGAGAAACATCAAAGAATTTAATTTGAAACGAACACAATAGAAAATTGTAAAACTAGGCATTAGTTTTTTTTTTAAATATTTCAAATTTTTTGGCTTTAAGCAGGCTTCACGAAAATCTACAGAGATAGACATAATTCAACATTTTATCTTATTTAGCTTTTATTTCATGAAAATGAGCAAAATTCTGACTCTGACAGATGCCTTAACGAAGCCAAAACAATCGTTTATTAACAGACAATTTTTGCATTCTGTAATAGTCAAGATTTTGCATAGTGTAATGAAAGCAATTTTTAAAAAATTCTAATAATGCTGAATTGAAAAAAAAGGATAATAACGATGCCCAGCTCTATCGAATACTGTAGAGTTAACAAAAATTTCCTTCAGGAAGAAATGGAGAAGAAGAAAGAAGGATCAAACCCTTTCACAGAATATTCAGGATAACAATAAAACTCCTTCGGAAAAAGTAAGATTTGTGTTTAACAAAATAATATGTTTTTCTAATTTAATCAATTCAATTATGGAAATATGTGTTTTCTGTAAAATAAAATGGTAAATGTGTATACAGTGGTAACTGGAAACGGTGGAATAACTGTCGTCTTCTTTTCTTCTTATAAAGGAAAAGATTGCTAGGTATTCTGCAACTGCCGTTGATGAATGTTAACAGTTTATGATACATTATTAGAAATGAATAAGCTAAAAATAAAAAATGTATATTAAATAAAATAAATAAAAAGATAAAATCAAAAATCTCAGGGTAAGAAGAAAGAAAGAAGACGACCAACCCTACTATTGAATTTTATATATTTTGGTATGACTAATTAGGTTGGATCGGATGTATATACCTATTTACTTAAAAAAACATAAATTTAGTTTTACAAATTTATTTGATAAAAATTTAATTTGATTTATTAAAAAAAAATGAAAACTTATTGGTGAAGCAGCAAAATAAACCACGTGTACTATGTGTGTACTACGTGTGTACTACGTGTGTACTAGATGTGCACTACGTGCGTACTACATGTGTACTACGTGTGTATGTTGAATTACATAACCTCAATAGGTCTATACAGTGTTGTATTTTCACAATTTGATCGCTACTAATCTTACTTCTACCTGTTGCGTCTATAAGGAGAAAATTGTTAAAAACGACTAATACCGAAGAACGTAGCGTTCATACAAATTGAGGAAATTGCAACATATGACTTAGACTGTAAAAAAATCAATTTAATTTCAAACAAATCATTCAGATATTACAACCTATAGCCATCGATTATCTTTCGCCAAATCTGTATATAGTTTATATTTCATAATATTTTTAAATTAATTATTTTACATTTACTTTTTTAGAAAACGTTTTTAACGGATTTCGAAAAATGTGAGTGGTGCGAGGCATTCTTAGATATGTAGTTGCGCAAGCGACAAGAGAAATAATAAAATTCGAAACAAATTAGTTAACAAATATTATAAAATATGAACTATATACAACTGTGGCGAAAAATAATCGATGACTATAGGTTGTAATATCTTAATGATTTGTTTGAAATTGAATTGATTAATTTACAGTCTAAGTCGTTTGTTGCAATTTTCTCAATTTATATGGGCGCTACGTTCTTCGGTATTAGTCGTTTTTAACAATTTTCTCCTCATAGACGCAACAGATAGAAGTAAGATTAGAAGCGATCAAAAGCGTTTTTTATCGCATTAAGCCTATACAATACCCCCTTTCATTTTTCGCGAACACTCCCTTTAATGGAAATCGTTTTCATTTGTCTCCAATACTTATTTACAAGTTTTTAACTACTGATAAATGCTTGTCATTGATTTAGAATAATGAAGATAACGTATTTACTAGTTTTTAACTAAAATTTTGTAATGAAGGATGTTTGTCATTGATTTAGAATATGAAAGAAAACACTTCATGGTTGTCCTTTTAACATTAATAAAACCGATATTTTTAATTTTAAAAAGTAACAAAACTTTCAAGCAGTAAAGTAGCAAGGACAAAAGGTTATTTTTGCTTTCAAGAGGGCTTTTTAAAAATTTGAAAATTGTAATATATCTCAAAATTCCAAATGATAACACTAAGCAAAATTTTGACTTTGCCTGAAGATGCAAGCCACTGCAAACTAACCAGGAAAAAGTCAAATTCAATTGACATTATCGGTATACCATTGTGACCTCATTGCTCTACTAGTTCTGATTTTACTCAGTAGGAGAAAATTAAACTTTTCCGTTAACAGATTAATTATTCAAAACAATTTTATTCTTCTCAATAGCTCTTCAATTAAAGAAGTTATGATATAAAAAAGATAAGATTTCAATCTTTCGTGCAGTTAACTTTAGTTTAACGTGAAGCCTGCATTACTTTTTAAACTGTTTGTTAGCAAACGGTTGAGTTAAATTTGGAATAATGTAAAAAAAGATATTTGACTTTGAAGGTTTTTGTTCTGTACTATAGAGACACTGCTCAATCAAAATCATTAATAGAGTCCTGACTCAAATGAGAAAGATGAGAGGAGAATTGATGATGCAGATTATGATTATGCTGTGGATAAATCAGTGATTTCAACCGAACCTAAACCGAGAAAACCCCTAGTTGGACTGAGAAAAGGAGAAGAACTAAGGTTAGTCTTTACATTTTACTGCAGAGAAAAGGAAGAGGGTGATTAATTAGGATTTAAACTAATATATACAACATTTTAATAATAACAATACCTGGTTAAGAGTTGAGAGCTCATTTACTCTTTATTTTGTATACTCTATTCTATCATCTATGAATTAAAAAGTGATAATTAGATACACCCTTGTGAACCATACCCCTAAAATTACCCTGTTGTAAGGTCGTCTCTGACAAACTGTACCTCCGTTAGACCCTCCGTCCACTTACCAAACCAAACATTTCCAAGACTTTCGCGTAGATATAAACAAAAACCTCATGGAGCAAAGTGCATTAAAAGAACCAATTTAAACATAATTTTCAGTGAATCATTTACAAATAAACAGTGAAATTACTTTAACCAGATAAATATTTATTTCAGAAGAATTAAATTGCTTTAGACTTCAGTTCAAACAACTTTTCACCATCCCACAGTTTTCTAGATTGTAAGTTCCGTATACTTAATTCACAACAATATCTTAAACCTTTTATCTGCCAATTCACAACAGTACCTTTTGAACCTTTATTTATTGATTCACAACAGTAATAAAATATGATCCACTAAACCTGCAAAACCTAGAGTTTCCAAATCCTGCAAAACCTGCTAAACCTACAAAACCTAGAGTTCCAATACCTTTTAAGCCTTTGTTCAATTCTCGATGGTACATGTTTCTAAACCAATGGTTCGATTCACAACAATACTCATTTATTGATAAAACCCTCAACTGTTTAATCTTTATTAACAATTACTATTTATATGCATGTACGCCAATAACAATTGGTATTTTGTAGGAAACCTCGTTACTGAAATATACATTTTCAAGAAGTTGTTCTCATCTATGCATGGCCGGTAGAAAAGAGTGTTTTCCTAGCCAATTCGCTTTATTTCCCTCTTTCGAGTATTATTCCTTTTGTTCGGCTCACAACCCTATACTAATTTTCATTGCATAATGCCATGTGAATCAGATTGATTATGATAAGACAGAAATATATACATTAAAATCATGTTTTCCATTTTCAACTGGTTTCAAATCATTTCCTTAATTAATTATTTGTCTAATAAAGGTGGAAAGTATAAGTGCATGGTGTGGCCAGCTATACCATGTAGGGCTGGTTGTAGATCATGTAGATCACTTTTATGTGGAGATTTGTTATTCTTGAAAGCTTGCTCTTGATATTTAATGTTGCCACTTGTATATTGTAGTGCAAATGCTTATGACCACCATGAGCTACTGAAGAGGAATTAAATTGACATAAAGTACTTTTCTAAGTGTTCAGTTAATAGTTAAAAACTAACAGCAACAAACTGAACATATCATAATAATATTGATTAAAACAACAGTAAAAGAGGGGATTTTGAAATGTATCGCATTGATCAAATGTCATATTCCAGAATCGACCTTATCAAGTGTCGACTGGACCACTAGTCGCTGCATCACATATTGCTGGATCATTTGTAGGTGGATAAGCTTGTCGTGGCGCCGTGGGGTCATCATGTGAGGTACCACAAGGCTGATATCGATTTAGACTTTTGATGAATACAAACAAACTCTCAGACAAGAAAAGTAATTTTCAGATGAAAAGATTTTATTAAAATTTATATTTGAATCAAAATTATAGTATTTATTTTTGCATAAATCTGTTTTAATTTACATCATTACTTTTCAATTATGGAATCAAGTTTCAAATTAGATGAAATCTACATTTACAAACTGAACTTTTACTTAATAACACAAACAAATAAGTTCTTCAAAATATTTGCAATTTTAAAGATTCTGCCGATTTTCTTCAAAATGATTTCTTTTAATCTATCTATACATTTATTACCATCAATCAACTAAGCCTTTTTTGCTACTGCTTGAATTAGTGTTCAAAATGTTATTTGTATTCATATATTTATTATTGATTTCAGATTAAAATGTTGACAATTATTTTTTGTGTTTTAAGTATTCCGTCTGTATTCACCAGTGAATGTGAGTTTACCCAGGATTGTTATAAAACACAGGAATGCCAGTCTATTCAGGTCAAGTTTAAAAAAGTAAAGAGATTAATTCATGCACTTCTTTCAAGCAGAATTAGTGTCTTCTCTTTTTCAAACTCTTTCAATAGTTGATTTATAGTTTGGCGAAGTCCATTTCTTTAATTGCCCAATTGAACGTTCATAAATATGCTATCAATTTGGGACATTTTTTTGTGACTTTGGAATCATGAAAAGATCAGCCTCTGGTATTAAGAGAAACTCTTCTGTTAATATTCAAAATATTGACCAGCCTTAAATAGGGCCAGGCCATTACGAATTTAGTAGAGCAGTTCATTTACCTGACCTTTAAGATTGTTGTGATACAGAGAAAAGTACATTTTATTTCTACAAGCTGTTAAGGTTGATAAAGGCAAAGATTTTAAAAGAAATTACTCTCATCCATAATTGGTTTAAAAAGTGAAATATTTTGGTTCAGGATGCTGGTTGTTCCTGCAGGTTTGGAAAGTGCATCATTTCCGGACATAAAATTTTTGGAGACTTTACTCCAGAATGTAAGGTCTTTACAGACTGTAAATGTAGGTAAGGGATGAGTTTGACTAGTAATTTTCCAAACATTTTTACCATTTTCTATACTCTACTAACACATTCTAAAAGATTATATGTCATGTACAACGATTTTTTAAACACACTTTAAAATGGTTTCTTGATTTTTACAAAATCATAAGTTTTGAAATATTTTTTTATTCAAGTTACTCATGATGATTAAAAGTTGTCAAAGCAAAAATACTTAATTGTCTTGAAGAAATTGTTTGATTTTAATTAATTTTCAGTAGAGATTCACCTTATATTTAAAAGTTAAATGAGTAAACCAGCTTTAAAGTCAGAGAATCAATTCATTTTGTTAAACCCACCTATCAGCTATCACTAGCGTTGTAATCACTTGATTACAACATTGACCTACCTCATAATATACATTCCTTACTTACATTATACATATTTGACTATCAAGTATGATTTCATAATAGCTCTGTTGTTAAGCAAGACGCCAGAAACTTGTTTCTGCAATCAAGGAACATGTGTATCTGATCCCAAGGTTTGTTAAGTGCAATTATTTTGGAGATAAAAGGATATTTAAAAGGACTTTAAATGTAATTTTAAGTGACCTTCCATTAATATAGAAGCTTGTCCGATTTGCAATAGTATCCTGACAAGCTTTGTCTGTCTGATCAATTATAAATTAGGTATGCATTGTTGTTAATCAGACATGGCTCCTCTTTTAATGCATGGAGGGTCACAATAAAATTTTGAGTATAGGAACATATAGGTGAAATGCTATATGTATGGGGTAAGTAAATAATCAAGTTTCTTGCATAAAAGTGGTTGTTAATGATTTTTAGGAAAAATGGGAGTGCCACGACACTAACAGTACTGAATGTAGTGCCATGAAAAAGTGCTCTGGGGACAAAAAATGTACTTGCAGAGGTAAATAATTAAGCATTTAAAAGAAGAGAAATATCCTAATTTATGTATTCAAAATATTGTACATTACTTTATTTGTTTGTTATTTTTTAGGTAATCTTTGTGAGCATGAATGTAACACTGTTGAAGACTGTATAAAGGGTGAAGCTTTATGTTCCAAAAGTGTTGGTTATAAATGCGAGTAAGTTACACTGCACATGATGTTTATGAATGTAATAACTTGACAATTGACATGCAGTCCAAATTTTTGCTAACAGAGATCACTACTTAATATTTATTTTACAAAAATCAATTTCTTTTTAGTATAAATATTTTTAAAATATCATTGGGAAAGGTCAACTTTTTAATTTTTCTCTGTAAGAAAGCTTTTTTTGTAACATTGATTAAAATTTAAAATATTTATTGTCTTTTTTTAGGTGTAAAGAAAATCTTTGTGATTTTGTGGAATTACCAAAACAATGTGATGACCTTTTAGACTGTATAAAACTTGGTAATTGCATAAAAACTTTTATAGCAAATTGGTAAGCACCCTGCTGTGCCAGTCAAGGAGAAATGTGAAGTTTGAACAGAATTGGTTTGGCTCAATGAGACAGTGTATTAAAAATATCTATACCAATAATGTTAGATGAGGTTGATCTAAAATAACTTTATGTTATTTCTTCAGGAAAATGTACTGCAAATGCTCCCTGTTCTTGCACTGTAAATCAATGCACTGATCCTTGGTATTTTGATCAAAAATGGAAAAATAATCATCCAACCAAGAACTGCCAAAGTGCAGAGGTAGTTAGTAATATAATCAAAATTATTATTAAAGGAACTGTAAAGTTAATTTGTAATTTCAAGTTACCCTCCATTCAAAGATTCTGATTCACAAAAACATGTTTTGATTGGCACTTTTCTTCCAGAACTGCAACTTCCAATTTGTGCACTGTTACCTATTTTTGTGAGCTCAAATCTTTAAACTTTAACTTTTCAAAGCATTTTGTGTAGTAGGCCAGATTAATTGCGGCTCTAACCTGCAACAGAGTAGTAACCACTGTTTTCTTTAAGGACTGCAACTATTTCATTGCCAACTGTCAGAATGATAAATGTACATGTGAGAAAATGGTGAAGGTTGATAAGTATGAGTCCTGGGGAGAGTGCACACCTAAAAGAGGATATAAGAATTGATTGACTTGATAGAATAACATTAGAATTAGATTTTGAATAAAGTTTCAATATAAATCTAATCTTAACTTTTTTCAAAGTTTAAGAATATTCAATATTCATTGAGTTAGGAAAAATGGAGAATAGAGAGTATATTATATTTTTTTTGTATGTTAACAAAAATACATAAACTTAATCCAGCACTTCATTCAAATTTATTCAAGATTTAGTTTAATAATAGAAACTTAAAATTAAATGTAAAAAATAAAAAGAAAATGTTTTAAATCTTTGTAAAAAGAGGTGGTGTCTCTCTGGCTTTTACATTTTTTGTAATTTTTATTTTTCTTGGCTTTAGTTGTACTTTAAATAAAAAATTTGATTCCAGGTTGCAGGGTGTCCCATATTATATTAGACCACCAATGGGTCTAAATCATGATGTTTAGAATGAATCATTTTGAAAAATAAAATAAGGCTTACATAAGAATTTTCGAGTTTTTCAAGTATTATGGGTTTATTTTGGCATTAAAGCTTGGAGATAATTTAATATGTAGATTTCAATGGGATGCCAGGGGTGTCAAATAATTAAATTTTTTTAAATAGGGGCTTAAATCTCCATTTCAGACTTTCTAAAAGCTGTAAATGCTTAATATTACTTAAAGAATGTTTCAATTGTTTATTTTCTAAAAAAAATGTTCATTTGCTGTTTTAGACTAGACATTAATAGACGTTTTTCAATCACAAAAAAATTGCCGAAGCATCATTTTTAACTGTAAATTTGTACTCTACCCTTCACCAAGAAATGGAAAAGAGAAAGCAGCAGTAAGACTTAAAAAAAAAATGCAAAAAAATGTACTGAAATGAGTATTAAAGACATTGCAATAAAAAATTTATTTTTGATGACATATCTTTTTTAAAAAAGTTCTAAACTTCCTCTTTATTTTTATTAAAACTCAAAACCTAGCGACAATTAAATGTAATTCCTTTGTTTTCTAGGATATGAGTGGCACATATTTTACTGGTTTATGCAGGCTATGTTGTAAGGAGGACAGTTTATTCTTATTATTAAAATATATAAGTGATGTTAAGGGGAAATTTTTCAACGATTGCAATCAATGTATTTTTTTAGATGTTTGTCCAATTTTACATCCATATTTAACATTAAAATCATATTTTAAAAGGAAAGTGAGTCTTAATAAGTAATTTTGAGTTGATCTAACTCAAAAAAATGTTCATTTTGAGAGATGTGCAGGTTCTGGTGTGATCTGAAATGTTTCTGACACTTCCTGATCTTATAATCAATCTACTCACCTCAGATTTGAAGTAGGTTTTAAAAGCAATGCCTCCAGAGGTTTTTACAGATTCTGAAAATAGATTTTTACAAAATCCTGTTAAGCTCTTTTAGAAAAAATTAAATTTAAACTTATTCGTAGTTAAGGCGTTTGACACAGTCATTTTTGGGAGATAATTTGGAAATCCAAAATATGTTGTGTTATTCTTCTTAATTAGTCTCATCTTATAATATATATGCCAATGTTGAAGTATCACTTTGGAAGAACATTAGCACTATTCTTTTATATAAAGGCTGAAATGTAAAAGGTTAAGCCACTTTTTATGAAACACCCTAAAATTATTACAATGATTTTAGTTGAACCACCTTGATCAATGCATACATTTCAGACAAAATCTTATCCAGAGATTTGTGAATGAAGTCATAATACTGTTTAGACATGATGTTAATAAAGTATTGCACCGTTTTAAATATACTTACTCATCGTAGCACATATCAGATGAGAGCCATGGTGCTATGTAGGGTAGCTCCAGACCTTCTCAATCCGGAACTGAGAACAGAGTAGAGCTGTCTCTACTCTGCATAGCACTGCACTGCTTCTCTTCCTTCTCCCTATTGCCAGAAACAAGGTAAATGAAAACATAGAAAGTAGAATCCTGATAGGTTGTGCAACATGCACTATGAAACTGGTTTATACTCTGTTGGCTGCAAGGAAAAGATTGCTGTAAACGAGGCCGTATATATTCTGAAGTACAATAGCAGCTGTTACGCAACTGGTGTTGCCCTGGTTTATACAAAGTCAATACCGTGCTGAGTTTCTTTGGGTCAAACCGTAAGCGCCTCTACTCTCGCTTGTCCTCGTGAAGAATAAAACACACAGGAAAAGGCTTCAAGTTTTATTGAGGAACAGCACTTCAGTCTGGACAAAAAATAAAACTTTTTAGTATCACAGAAAAAACTTTGATGAGTACAAAATAAATAATTTTCTATCGAATAAAACATCATCCCAACAGGCATTAAAAACTGTGAACTGCCCATATAAATCATATAAATATCCAATACAAAGAACACAAAACATATTTTAATATTTAAAAACATATTTACCACAGTTATTCACTGATTTCAGCAAAAAATAATCATGGAAAACATTTTATAATCAACTAAATCTAAGTCCTACAAATATACTGTAAAAACTATAAACAAAGAATGTGTGTGTGTTGGGTCTGCGCAGTACACAAAAAACTATCAGTAGAAAACTGGTTCTTTATCTTCAGCTTCTCCTGGAAACACTTGTACAGAACGTCTATACGTTACAGGGGTGAATAGGATCTCCCCAGAGAACAGGGGCATTTCACAGGCTCTAAGTACGCTGTGTGTGCTAGCGTAACAGCAGCAACTCTCCAATTATGTACATGCAGTGCAACTCCTATTAACTCCAACACCTTAAATGCCGCAGAACTCGAAAGAGCATAAAACAGGGTTCCTTTCTTTCGGGGAGTCCCTGGATACCTTCCCTTCCTAATATAGTTAATATATTATAATTTTAATAATTAACAAAAACTTGCGCAAATGTGCACGCTCTCATCTGACTAGTGCTATGATGAGTAAGTATATTTAAAACTGTGTGTGAACTATGAATTCAGGCTACTAGCCAGAGGTCATCAGGTTAGTTTTTTTTTATGATTTAAGCTTTTAGATGTTGCTATCCATTACACCACTCTGTCCTTGAACATCATGACACTAAATTTCATTGATGGACCAATTAAAAACCTGTACTGTAGTCATGTTAACAGAACGTAGCATATTATTTTAATCTAAAGAGAACAGATTAATAGAGAGTGTAATTAACTTGAAAAAAGTGTGAAACCGCCATTTTGCTGTTATGTTTCCATACTGCAGATGTTCTTCACACATTTGTGCTATGCAACCTTATTAGCCGGCCCTGGATTATCTTTTTATAGAACAAATTTTATTTAAAATTATTTAATTTTTTCTAAATCAATTCTCTGACAACTAGTCATGCATTTATTATTTCAGCATAAGCTAGGTTAATAGAAATCAATAAAATGTTTTATTTTCAGTAAAAACTTGTTCCCTGTTTTGAGGTAATTAAACAATAAAATAAATTTGTTTGAAATACTCAAGATACCAAAATATGGTCTGCTATTTCTGTACATCAAAATTGAGGTTGGAAAATGGTTATGATTTCTATTGAAGATAACCTTATTATCAAATAATAATATAATCCACCTATAGCTAATACATTAAAATTAATTTTACAACTTTAAAAAAGAAAGAAATTGTAACAAATATATCCAGGAATCATACTGTATTATTGTGATGTAATGTGTATAATTCGTGATTATGTTCATGAATTGTACAATTTGAACTCCTTTTCAGGCCCAAAGTGACTGCAAATATTCATGCTGTGGAATAGTTCTATTTCCCTACTAAATCTAATCTCTGTTCTGTGGTTTAATACTTATTGGCAGGATGCAATCAGATAGAATGACAAACACAGGCAGACAGACAAACCAGACATAAATAGAGATATAGAGATAAATAGAGATAATTAGGCATTCATAAACTACAGGTTTTAACAAACTAAATATATTATTCTTGCGCCATTATTTTGACTAGATGACCAATAGAGAATTAAAATTTCACTTATGTAAAAGTAAGTAAAGTTTGTTTGTTCTGCAATATTTGTTTTTGTTTGTTTGTTTGTTCTCTATTGGAGTTCGCCAGATCGATATTAAATAAATAAATATTATATATTATTTATATCATTATATTATTATATAAATAAATATTAAACAGTTACCAGATTTTATTTGCAAATAAACATGAAGACATAAAGGCATAACATTCTGTTAAATTTTATTATTGCTTTCAATACTTTTTTCCCAGTCATATTTGTTCATTTTGCAAGAACACAAAATCCAAATGGAAATAAAGGAAAATTATCTGAATATTTAAATCATGTTTGCTAATGAAAACCATAATCATTAGCAGTAGGTAGTGAGCCCTAATTGTTATTATGAAACCTGATATAAACTAACTACCTTGTTAATCTACTAAAATTGTAATTAGTTAACAATCCTAAATTTGAATACAATTAGTACAGTATTTACTTTGAATGAAAAATGTATCTGCATCTGTAAAATGTAGGATTTACGGGTTATGGTTTACACATGGAAATGATCTGGAATTTTTTTCCATTTCCATTATGGAAAAGGTTACGGAATTTCGCAATTGGTCAAAATATTATATTTATGTTCAATTTTTTTTTAGTGTAAGTGAAAGTCAAAAGGAAATTGATTAAAACTCTGTGACAAATTAACGTTAGAATTTGATTTTGATTTTGTGGTTTTCAGAATTAATGCAGAACTTACAGATTTAGCATAAAAATTGTGTTTGTCATTGGCGATAACATTTTTTGGAACCTTTTGCCAAAGATAATACTTTTTCTTATTTCAGAAAAATGATATCATTATCAATTATTTTTGCTGTGTTATGTGGTGCCTCTGCAGTTCCTAATATTACTGACAAATGTCAATTTACATCAGACTGTCGTGATTTCTGCAGATATACATCGGTTATTTTTGATTTGTTAAATTCAAATGGGCTTTTAAAATTTATTTCAGTTTTCTTTCACAAGATGTTTATCCTTTTTCAATTTTCAAAATTTAGAGATAATTTCTGGACTCTCATGAGTAGGACAAATGTATGCTAAAATTTGATTACTTCTTATATTGCAAAGCTAATGATTTTCCAACCAACATGCATTCAAGATATAATCCTTTCTCCTGTTTAGGTTTATATGCATATCTTCGTGATTTATTGCACCTTTCATCATTTTTAAATAACCAGAATTTTCAGTATTAATACAAAAAATGTCTTTCGTATGAAATATTTTTGTCATGTTTAAAAATACAATATGCAGGCAACATTTTAAAACTCATAATCAGATACCTAAATTCAAATACAGTAGTGTGGCTGTTTGTAGTTTAAACTTTATCAAACATGAAATGATAAAATGAGTATTACAAAAACCTTTAAACTATGTTGGCTAATGCATGTTATTTCTGCATAGAGCAGTGACATAGTAGAATTTGTTTAGGACGCTGCTTGTTACTGTAGATTTGGAACCTGTATTACTGTTTTACTCCAATTTTGGGGTAAAAAGGCTACTCCACAGTGTAAGAACTTCTCGGATTGTGATTGTAGGTAGAAACCTATGAATCTTATATTTTTTAAAAGCTCTAAATTACATTGTGATAAAAGAATAATTTAAGGATACATGTTTTTTCTAAAATTTATGAAAATTTATTTTTAAGGAAAACACCAAAAACCTGTTTCTGCAAGAACGGAAAATGCACTAAGGTAGAATTAGTTTAGAAGATAATTTCTATCAATAAATGATTTCATAAATCTGTATGCCATACATTCCCCATAAAAACCTTGCATAAAACAGATCATTCATTAAATTTATCATTAATAAACCACTACAAAACTTTGTGACTTCAAGGAAGGATAATATGTAAAAGTTTAAAACATTTTTAGGAAAAATGGGAGTGCCATAAAAATGCTGATTGTAAAGCAATGAAAAAGTGTTCTGGCAAAGAATGTACTTGCAAGGGTAAACAATTCTGTACATTTTAGAGTTTAAACATTTTAACATAGCTGAATATTTTATTTAAAATATTAAAATTTTGATAATTTAGGTAATCTTTGTGAGTATGAGTGTGCAACTGCACAAGACTGTGTAAAGGGAGATTTTTATTGTGCAAGAAGTATTGGTGAGAAGTGTGGGTAAGACTACTAAAATAGGGTTGATATTTGGGAATCGATTTGTAAATGTATACCTTACATTAAATCAATACTAAAGTTATATCAAACAGTCTTGTTTTAATTGATAATTTGATTGCTTCATTTCTAGGTGTAAAGAACATCTTTGTACTGGTATACAACTTCCTAAACAATGCGAGGAAATTTCGGATTGTGTCAAGCTAGGTAAATTTTCCCAGAGTTTGCCCACTTAAATTGAGAGGGACAGAATAATACACACCAATACATACATACTTTTAGATCTTAATTTAGCACATACCAGGGAATATTTTCATGTCAAGTTTTTTTCTGTCCCACCTGCACATGCACTGGTTAGTCCAGACAGTGTCTCCACTCTCCAGTGACAGAAAGTCAAAAAAAGCATGTTAAAAAAAATCATGGTTTTAGCCTTTTAAAAGCTTTAAATTTAACTTTAATTAAAACAGTAAACACACTAAAGCAACTATTGCCTTTTCTAAACAATTAAAGCTGTGGTTAAAAAAGCTGGCAATTTTTAATATTTTGTTTAAAATCAAAATTAAATTGTATTTTATGCGCGTTTTCAGATAATGTTGCCTGATTTCCATAATTCATTTTAGTTTAAATTGGGATGTTTTTCATTTTAATACTGTATCTTAATTCAAGATAGTTCATGATTTTGTCATTTAAATATTATGATTATTTTTAAATGTTAGTTATGGGTATATAATTTCCACTCAAAAGTCCAACAACCCTGGTTCTTACTCCTCAGGCTGTGCGAGCAGAAGGAAAATCAACCTATTTTTACAGACTATTCATGCCCAGAGGCACTGCAGCTGTGCATACTGCATTCCATTTTAATCATTAAAATTAACAACTTTGTAAAACAATTTTAGGAAAATGTACTGGAGATGCTCCCTGTGCCTGTACATCAAATCAGTGTGTTGACCCTTATTATGTTGAATATAAATGGAGAAAGGACCATCCAACCAAAAACTGCCAAGACGTTGAGGTACATAACATATCAGAAATTACATTTAGTAATATAGAGTTCTTTTGAACATGTGTTGGCCCGTCCTCACATGGTTCTTCTGGATCCCCCACCTTCTGAGGAAAGCAACCCCCCACTATTATATCATTCCAGATTAGGTTAGATACAAACAAAGTGACTAATACTAAAGTGGAACAAACTAAGGCAATGACGACAGGTTGGGCCATAAGGTTTTATTTGGTTTGGAAATAATTGCATGAAAAGTTTTTTTTTGTATAGTAATGACTAGAAAATATAGTCTAAAGACCCATGTAAATGTCGTTTTTAGTTAGAACTTCGAAATTTTCATGATTAAAAATAAAAAAAATTTGCATGTTTTTATGTATTTTACATGCAAATACTATGAAGTCGCTTAATCAATTTATTGATTTTGTCTGGCACTTCAAATTCTATAGGAATTTATCTTTAAAACTGCTTAGTTTTGTTCTTTCAAATCTCACTCCATTCCGAAATATGTTTGTAAATTTCATACGATGTTATTATCCAGAGGCGTATTCATGGAGTGCTATGGGGGCTCATCCCACTCCTGGATCAGTAAAATATATGCTTTTTTTTTGGGGGGCAGATATAGACTAATCACAATATCCTTTTAAACCAATTTATTTTTAGATATATAGTTTAAAATTGGGAAAAAAGGCTTTTCATACCTACTGGGGTTGGCCTCCCCCCCTTAAAAGAAAAAGAAATGTAAGCCCTTCCTGGGAAAAAAAATCCAGAATACGCCTCTCTTAACATCTTTTAAACTATGTCTAGTTCTCAATCACTCTTAAATCTGTCAAAATACAAAAGTGAAGACCAACAGATATATTTTGGAAGAACTTCATTTTTCGGTATTAGAATTTGTGCATTCCTTGTTTTACAGATTATGCATGCAGGCATTATTGTGCTGTCTGAAATTATTTATTGTGTAGAAAAATGGCTAAAATTCACTTCTGAAATCTTAATTTACGTTAATATATATTTAAGTTAAATACAAATTCTAAGTCTGTGTTTGTAAAAAAAGGGAGTCCAGTTTCTATTGTACTGTGAACTCCGTACAGACCAATTTATATATATATATATTATTTCTAAATACTTGGGACATGAAATGTCGTCATCCAACTATGAGTTCGGCCCACTTTAGTATTTAATCACTTTGAGATACAGATACAGGGTGTCCCAATAAACATGGGAATTCAGTGACGAATTCGATATAGTCTTTTGAAATAATTCTTTGATTTAGTAAAGGGCTACCTACTGAGAAAGCTGTAATCTGTAAGAGTTTCGTCTGCGATGTTCACATTTTGTTTGTTTATGTTTTGATTGCATACGGTTGTACTTAGTAAAACAAGAAAATTACAGTATACAAACAGAGTAAACTTGTCCGTCTTCACTGTTCATCTTGCGGAGACAGTATAGACACATCTTTACAGTCTTTTACCCTTTTCATAAAATAAACTCTAGCAGACATAATAATATTATGGCTTTTGAAATTAGTTATTACAATGCTAATTCATAACAAAGATGATATTGAATTTGTCACTGAATTCCCATGTTTTTTTGGGACACCCTGTACATAGATCAGCGCAGAATAAATGTTTCGGTCCTCATCCCATAGAACTGTGACTTTCCATCAAATTTTACTATTTTTTTTTGCCTTTTCTCTTTTATTTGTTTTTGTCAGGGCAAATGCGATTTTAACAAAAATGTATAAAAAGACAACTCCATAATTTAAAAGATTGTTGAATTTTTGACTAAAATGTGATTTATTCAAATATAATTGGTTAGCTTGGGTGGGATAATCACAGAATATTGCTCTTTTTTCAGAAGGGGAGGGGGGGGGGGAGGGCACTAAGTTACTACTGTTTAAGATACTGATTTTTTAAAATATGTATTTCTCTTTTAAAAGTGTTATTTTTTAGGACTGCAACTATTCTATTGCCAACTGCCAGAATGATAAGTGCACCTGTGAGAAAATGGTGAAGGTTGAAGAAAACAGTTCTTGGGGAGAGTGCACACCTAAACAAAACATATAAAATTTTGCTTAAATTTCAGAGTTAATATCATGATCTTGCTTTAATACAGTTTAATAATTGTATCGTAATTTGAAGTTAATAAATATTAACATGGTCAATAATACTTTTTAGAGTAGATCAATTAAACAATATTAATGACAATACAAATGTTGTCACTAAATTTTAATGTTTGTGGGACACTCTGTGTACTTAGGTACAGTGTATAATGTACATAGTTGTTGACACAAATAAAAGAACAACAGGGATATTCGGTAACTTTATTGAATAATAGCATGAAATGAGAAATAAAAGCAAAGTTTAAAAATATTGGCCCTTAATTGGGAGTATCTAAACGGTTGAAAATGAAATAACATTGATTAATAGTGTTGAAAGGAATGGAACAGTTGGAGCTTCATGATGGTCAGCTCACAGGTGTCAGCATCTTGGCAGCAAAGGGTTCACATCTAGGCGACGGTCCTGGAGGGTTTGCAGTCTGTAACATGTGTAGGGAGGAACTGATTGCCTCTCAACCCCGGGACATGCGACTGCTTTGTGGATTTGGACATGATGGAGGCTTAGACATTAGCAGCATTTGTTGCTAGAGTAGACATCGGCGGCAGTATGAAGGAGTTAGTAGTTCCAGATCAGAGGTGTTCACATCTCGACATTCTAAAGCTAACTGACGCTGCTCTCCACAAGTAGAAGCGGTAAAGGGGGGGGGGAACATGAGGAGACACATTTGGAGCGGATATAGTATTATGTATTGTTAATCTTGTGCGGTCAACTTCGCTACACAGTAGTAATCGTCTTCGTGTTTTCTTGAATTTGTTACAATAGTACAGTGTTCAGTACAGGGAGTATAAGGAATAGAAGGAAGATATAACTGACGTGGTTCGCCCTACCACATGATTACAAATGCTTTGCAGACAGTACTTCATTTGAATAAGAATTATTTGTCTGATGTACAATTACTGTGTATAAAATACAAATAAAGTACCGTCTGCAAAGCATGTATAATCATATGGTAAGACGAACCTTTCCAGTTATATTTCTCTTCTATTCCTTACTCCCTGGTTCAGTACATGATGATGAAACTACCTTAGAAATCAATTAATTAAACTTTTGAAGCATTAAAATTGTTTATGTGTTTGCTTGTTAGCCAATAAAATTTTATCAAAAACTTTCAATTCCTGATTTTCATAGATTAAAAAAAATACTCAAAAGTTTTTTATTTAATTTCAAGTGACATTTCATGTTTCCAGATATTTTACTGCCCAAAACTAGTATCTGTGTTACCTAACTTGATGCACATTTTCAGACAAGAATTGGTCTTAATCAGGGGCGTACGAGGGCATTTGTTCAGGGGGGGCACAATTTGCGCGCGTAAGCGCGTAAGAAAAGGCTATAAGTGCAAGATCGTTAAGTTTGCTCTCCGTCATAGTACATCTTGTGTAAAGAAGTATTCTCTTTAGAAAGCTAAAACTTTTTTCTCCTAGTATTAACAGTGAATTCAGACAAATCCATAGTCGTTGTCATTGTCAGGTGTTACTTTTAAACGTAGTTTCCTTTTAATTTTGTATTTTCCAGGGGGCAGGCCGCCACTGGAACTCCCAGGGGGGCAATAGAACTATTGCCCCCCTTAGGTACGCAACTGTGCCTGGCCTAAGGAAGGGAAATGCAAGCAGATGTAATATCAAAAGAGCCTCTCCCCATAGGTGCCCCCCCTCAGCCTCTGAGGGGGGGGCGCGAATATCGGGGGGGGGGGGGGGAGGCACCCCCCTCGTACACCCTGGTCGTAATTGTTGAAGTAAAAGTGAATTATAGTTTTTATAAAACTGGTTATTTAAATTCAGGTTGTGGTAGAAATTCATCTAGTTGAGTTGCAACATTAGAACCTGAACCTTTAATATTCCAGTTAAATTAGTTAAATTGGGCCTCAACATTGTATTTAATGCTTACCAAAAACATGTCAACGGAGGCTTTTTTGAGCAGCATAATTTTACTCAGATAAAATATACAACCAGACTCTTTTTAACTTTTAAAATCATCACAATCGTACTTTTTTCCATTAAGGAACCACATTGAGGTTTTAACTGAGAGCTTTAAAATTCATTAAAAATGTCTGTTCATTATCAGATCTACTTTACCAGACAATGCAATATCTTAATCTTCAATTAAATAAAACACATATTTTAGCTCAAGTTGGCTTAGACATAAAATAAACAAAATTGTTCTTTTTTATGGTTCTTCTGTGTCAATAAAAAATCAGTTAAAGAGCAGGACCGACTTGGAGGCACCTTTTGCAAGTTGTATAATACAAATACAAACTTTAGATGGCTAAATGGGACAGTATAAAACATTGTTCAATAACTAAATTTTGCCCATCCCTTTAGCCTGCATGCAGCGCAGGCTGTAGGGATGGGCAAACTTTTTCCTTGTCTTAAAGAATATAAAATCCATATTTTTTAAAATGACGGACACCAATAAAATCTTTTCTTTTCTAACATTTTTTTGCAATTAAAAGTATGGTCTTTCTGGCTCACAACAATACAATACAATACAATACAATACAATACAATACAATACAATACAATACAATACAATACAATACAATACAATACAATACAATACAATACAATACAATACAATACAATACAATACAATACAATACAATACAATACAATACAATACAATACAATACAATACAATACAATACAATACAATACAATACAATACAATACAATACAATACAATACAATACAATACAATACAATACAATACAATACAATACAATACAATACAGTACAATATAATACAATGATAAAAAAAACATATTTCTCGGTCATCCTTTCACAATCGGACATGAACAATTGGGTCTAGTTACACTCAGTTCCATTTGAGGATGTTTTATTTTCATAAAAATTTATGAAAATGAGCAAATTTAGGTAATTTTTGACTGTTTGAAAGACAAAAACACAAGTTTTTGTTTGATTGTTGACTTTTTTGAAAATTAAACTCCAATACAATTCATATGAATAACTCTCGATAACAAACTAACCAAATATTACAAAAGAATATAAAAATTTAGTATATCTATTGTTTATGCTGTTAAAAATCTAGATCATTATAATGAATGGGACCTTTATTTGAAAATCTAATTGAAGGACGAAACCCAAGAAACAAAGAGTTTTAATTTCAGAATAATGTTGTCTTTATCAATCATTTTAGCTGTATTGTGTGTTCCATCTGTATTCTCTGATGAATGCCAGTTCACCCAAGACTGCAATGTGAAGTGTGAGGGACTTCAGGTAAAATATAAACATTCAGTTCAAATATTTGCTATACTTCATCTCATTTTTATAATCTCATTTATTTTTAGAAATGAGATATCAAAACCGTTTTTTTATAACACAAATCTTGATTTGCGTATTGATCTTTTCCAAATTATACAATTACAGGTTAAAAAGGTGATAGAGTATCATCTTGTCTAATCCGGGTGAAGCCATATTTTTAAATATTCATGTACTAATCCTGTACTCAGGTTGTGACGAAACATAGATTAATGCGACCATTTTCTTCTCTTCAAAGGAATCCAAAGAGAGGAAATTTAAGTTTTAGTCAAGTTTAGAAAACTAAAGGATAATACATACCAAGACACCCAACCACAACAAACCAAACATACATTAAAGAGTGATATGAAAGATTTAAATGCATAATTTCATCCTTTTTTTTGTAATAGCAGACATTTTTTTTGACTGAAATTATAAATAATTAGATTTTTAAATATTTTTGTTTTTGAAATTTTGAAGTTTTCCATTTTAAAGTTTTCCAGTTTTGAAGTTTTCCAGTTCTGTAGTTTTCCAGTGTTGAAGTGTTGCAGTGTAGAATGTTGAAGTGTTGAAGTGTTGAAGTGTTGAAGTGTTGAAGTGTTGAAGTGTTGAAGTGTTGATGAAGTGTTGAAGTGTTGAAGTGTTGAAGTGTTGAAGTGTTGAAGTTTAAATGGCAATGAATTGATAAATTAATTGATCTGTTGATATTTTATGATGTTCAGGATGCTAGCTGTGCCTGTAGGTTTGGATCCTGCATCACTGTTGGACATTATTGGTTTGGTGTAACCAGGACAAGGGACTGTGAGGAGTTCACAGACTGTGATTGTAGGTAAATAAAATCTATTTTTATCTCTTAACAAGATATAAGACTAGTCTCCAAGTGGTGTCAGTTGATAGTAATAAGAAACTCTTTTCTATACATAAATAAACTGTGTCTTCATTAACTTCTTCAGATTAAAATAATAAAATGTTTTTTCTTTCATTTCCCTTAATAACATTATGGTTTATTAATTAGTCTTCATAAATAGAGATGGGCGTGTTCGGCATTTTTTTTCAATTTGGTTGGTAATCATTCGATAACAACCCATTTGTTTATTGGTTTGAATCCATAATTATCGTTCATTTTCCATCTCTTATCTTCATTTTCTAACTAAACGATCGTTTCATTAAATCTTTTGTTCAGATTATTCATTCTGTAAAAGCTTTTGTTCAAAAAGTTGTTTGTTTAGTAAAAAAAAGTTTTTTAAACTTGTTGGGAAAAATCTATTTTTAATTTAGTTTTTAAAAAAAATGATCCTATTTGTTCGTTTATCGAGCATTATTTTTCTGAATAACACAATCTCTCAAAAACAGTTTTGTTTGTCTTGAAAACTTTTGTTTCTTTCCAAAAACAATGCCCCTATCTACGCACATACTGTGTATGAGTTAATATTTGATAAAAACAACTCTGGCTTTATATTTAACAATTTGCAAATAGAGAATTAGCTTTATCATTGCAATCAAATTTCCATAAACAAAACAGGAATTTTAACCATTAGTTTAATCAACCTGTTGTTAAGTGAAACTCCAGAAACCTGTTTCTGTCGGGAAGGAAAATGCATTTCTGATCCTGAGGTTTGTATTTGAAAAACAACTTTTTTTGGGGAGGGGGGGGGGGAAACAAATTTATGCAAAAGCGCCAAAACCAACTATAACAATGTTTTTGTACCATTTCAACAACCACTTTTTAAAACATAAATTTAGATATGTATATAAATTCATTAAGTTTTGATATTTTTGTAAAAATGAGAGTTCTATTTTATTCTAATTAAACACTTTTAAAAATCATATTATTATTGGTTCTGGATTTAAAAAGATGATAATCAATTTTCATGATTTTATGATTTGAATGACCTTTATATCTAATATTTATTTAATATCGTCAGCATTTCATAAATTCTATATATTGGAAATACACATACATTCGTTGGACATTTAGAGCTCAATATTCTAACTGATTTTGTCAAAATATTCAAAACTTTACCTAGCTCAGAATTAATTAAAAATTACCATAAATATTTTTTTCTTTAAGTCCATATTACTTAAGAAAAATCATGTGAATAATTTTTTCAATATTACAGAATTTCTTTAAAGATTGTAAATAACAGCAGAATGTTGCATGTTTAGGATAAATGGGAATGCCACAATAGCACTGATTGTTCTGTACTTGAGAAGTGCTCCGACAAAGATTGCACATGTAGAGGTTTGTATTTCAAAAATAAGAAAAAAGAAATGTTAACCTCAAAAAGCTTGTTTGACATTCTCCCAATGGTGTTATGATTATATCAAAATAAAATGTTGCTAAATCAATAAGTGAAAAGGTTTCATTGTTACACAACATATTTTCACAAGCTGATTTCTATATTTTTACAAAAATGATTTTTAAAATTATTTTAAGGTAATCTCTGTGAGTTTGAATGCACAACTGTAGAAGATTGCATAAAGGGAGATTTTCATTGTTCAAGAAGTATTGGGAGTGAGTGCGGGTAAGTTCATTTAAAGACTGTGTGACCTTTTCCAATAGGGTTGGTAACAAAAGATGAGATGTCAGAGCAGAACTACAGAAGCTGTGCACTTTTTTACTTTAACAAATCATTTATTTTAGAATTAAAATCATTGATTTTTAAATTCACATTTCAAATTTTTTATCAATTACTTTTAACTTGGACTTGAAAATATAACTCATTGTGTCTTTCCTAGGTGTGAGGAACATCTTTGTACTCATGTTGATCGTCCCAAACAATGTGAGGAAATTTCTGACTGTGTTGAACTAGGTATTTTAACTCTCAGACCTTGATTTAGATTTTCCAAATTAAGGGATGGGTGAGGACTAAGGAAATCTCCGAGTGTGCAGATAAGATTGTTGACTTGAAAAGTCACTATAATAAAATAAAGAGATCTAAAATGGATATTTCTAACATTTATTAGGGAGCTGGGATGAGCGGAGATTCGACATGTGGGCACTACATGAGGAGGAAATGGATTTGAGTACACATACATCTAGAGAAAAGGCTGGGGCATTTGAGTCGGAAAAATCGTCTTCCTTATATTTCGAATTAATTTTAACAAAGATGTTTGTCAATACGGTTTCTTTAATTAATGTTGATGGAAAGATAGATTATATAAGTATAACCCCCACAAATCACAACTTCTCTATCTGAAAAACTTTTGAAAAGAATTCGAGTCTTTACCACAAACTCTGATTTTCTAATCCCTCTTTCTTAGCAACCCAGTTTTGTAGACCTTAGATATTTCAAACCATGAATTTTGTTAGGACAAAAAATATATCAAGTTTCAAAGATATAGAATAGAGATAAGAAAATTTGAATTTGCGACAAAGACACAATTCCTAAATCTTCACCATTAAGTCTTAATAATTTGTCCTTCTCTTTTTGTCCAGTTTTCCGCGAATCGTTCGTTATTTAACAAATAACAATTCTATGCGTTCTTTAACATAATTTTCCATACATTTTCAAACCTTGACAACCTTTAATCCTTACTCAAATTAATAGTGGTTTACTTGCAGGAAAATGCACTGGAGATGCTCCCTGCTCTTGCGATGAAAGTCAATGCGTTGATCCTTGGTATGTAAATCAAAGTTGGAGAGAAGATTATCCAACCAAGAACTGCAAAAATGCCAAGGTAAATGTTTCTCTTAAAATTGTTGAATACAAATACTTTTCAACTAAAAGGGGGTCATACCCCCTGCAAACATTTAGTCTTCGACAAGCCAATGTCGAACCCATAAAGTTCAGAACTAATTACCAGACATTTTCGCCATTTGCACATATATTGTCGATTAAACTATTTCCTGGGTATTTACCTTTTTTCATTGAGCTCAAATTTTTAAACTTTAATTTATCATAGCATTTTGCATAGTAGGCCAGATTAATTGCGGCTCTAACCTGCAACAAAGTAGTAACCACTGTTTTCTTTTAGGACTGCAACTATTCAATTGCCAACTGTCAGAATGATAAATGTACATGTGAGAACTTGGAGAAGGTTAATAAGTACGAGTCCTGGGGGGAGTGCACACCTATCTAAAGGGTTATTGAGTTCAAGTTCTGTAGAGGAGAATGGACTTCACTGAGGGAGGACACCTCCAGCCGCCATGAGCCTAGGCAATACAGACTTGCTACGCAGAAAAGAGCCTCCGCCATACAGCACAGCTTTGTTTACATCTTGGTTTTTATGTGTAATGAAGAATTTTAACAATTTTTTTGACACAGTGGCATAAAAATTTTACTAAAGAGTTGTTTAGTGATGGTCATGATTAGAAACTTATATGGACTCAAAAAGTGGTTTATAAGATTTATACTAAAAGTTAAAACATTTCTTACACAGTAAAGAAGATGTTTGGAGAAATATTTTTGGAGTACACATGTGTGTAATCTTTGATCTAAGCAATACCTTTTTTGAAAAATTGCTAAGATTTAAATAAATTATCGAAATTTTCTAGATTTAAAAAAAAATTACAAAAAAAGGTATTGCTAAAATCAAAGATTATAAAAGATGAAGTTGAACTCAAATCTTTTTCTCTAAATATGTCCTTCCATCTAAAAAATGTTTAAAGTTGACCAATTTATTAGTCTTAATTAGGTTCTATTAATAATGATTGATAAATACTGATCTTTGAGAAATCTCTCAATAGTATTGTAAAATCTTATATTTAAACTTTACATGAGTTAAAAAAAAGTCTCCTGTAAAACGCATGTACATTTTGATGTATTGTGCACGCTCATTACTGTATAGCGAAGGCTCGTACTGCCTGGCAAATCTGGGAAACTCTGATGCTGGATAGCGAAGGCTCATGGCGTCCAGGGTTTCCCTCCCTTCTCCAATACATAGCTAGCGCTGAGTATATCTTATTTGTCTTTATTTGATGTATCTAATTGTTATAAAATAAATATATTATTTCGACACAATTGTTTATTTTGTTTTATATTTGATGTCTAGCCTTGTGCTTTGTGCATTCATTTTTTGGGCCTCTTACAAAAAAAAAAACAAAAAAAAAAGCAGTAATTTATCGACGAAATACTCGAGAACTAAACATTCCTTAATACATTCTGATGATGAATGTGTAATCACAAGCCAATCGTTCAGTGCACTGCTGTATTCTGAGATACTCCAGCTGACATCAAACCCATAGAATCTGCAGGATTACAAGATTCTGTCAAACATATTTTTTTTACAGCTCTTTTCTGGCTGTGATGCAAATTGACAGAATTATTTGTGACAATGCTTTTCGAAAATTTTGAAATTCCACTTACAGCTCGGGTAAAATTATGCTTTAATACCAAGCTCGGGTAAATAGCGGGAATAACTGTGTGTATGTCTGTACCAAAAGAGTGGTTGTAAGGAATACCGAACCGAAGGCGTCTACTTTAGGTATGTACAGTACATAAGAATCTCGGTATTTGTACAATCTGGAGAGTACATTTGTGTATTGTTATTTGTTTACTTAAAATCAAGTTTAATATACATGTAATATATTATTTACATATTTACACCATCAGGTTGCAACGGGATAAAAAATTTAAGTTTTCTGTATAATTGCACTGTATTTCTGCAACCAAAAACTGACCTTCCTTACAAATATATCTAATGTAAAAAGACAGTTTAACCTTTTTTCTGGGATAATTATCTCTGTATAATTAAGTTCTGTCTACAGGGTTATATACAGTGCACGATATACTGCAGGAAGTATGCTATTTAATATTCTCATTTACATCGTAAACTTTATCATATTAAAGTTATCAAAATTTATTTTTATTTTATCAACATTTGTTTTAAAATGTTCTGGCTTAAAAACTGAATAAGTTAAGCTAAGATCATATTGTATTGGTGTATACATAAATACATGTAATTGTTTTGTAAACGAATTTTTTTTAATACAAGGAAAAATAATTAACACTATCTCTTCTGAATAAAAAGTATTTAAATAAAATATTTGGCAAAAAGAAACTGAACTTTTGCAGTGTGTATTTTGTAATGAATATAAAAACTAGACTGCGCCCATCTTCTTTTTCAATTGTGAACATGTTCTCACTGTATACATTGTAAAACAAAAACAAAATAAATTTCGTGGATTTTCAAAACTTTCAAAAATCGAACTTTCTTAGAGGAAAATTTTTGAAAATTTGATCATTTATAAACCTTCCCTGGAATCACACGAGGCTCCCAAAAAAAATTTGGGCCCGCTCGGTTCAGCCGTTTTGACGTTTATTGGATACAAACAAACAAACATACACCCAAGCAAAGTATATATATATATATATATATAGAGGATATCAATTATCTTTTTAAATCAGAAATACTTCTGAAAAAGTATAGGTCGGCCATTCCTTCAGTTATATTATTGCACTATAAGCAATATACCCAGCCTTCAATAGATAAATACAAAATTTAAAGAAATATCTGGATTATTCCTGTTTAGATCTGTGAGAAGAAGAAAGCTATGGAAGAAGGTTCTGTTGATAATTTCATCATCTAAACCTAGCTCTGCCACACCTTCAAATATCAAGTAAAACAGTTTATTTTATCATCAAATAAATTAAAATTAAAATTCTATATTTGCTGGCAATAAATGCTGATTAAAGGATGTTTTGTTTAAAGGGTCGTTTTAATTTTAACAAAATACACATTACAACTTACAAGTAGGGAATGCCCAACTCACAATAGTATTTTTTCACCTTTATCTCCTTGTTTTTTTAGCTTGAAAAGTGTTAAATTATGATAATTTCCCTCCCATGCTTTCCGGAACGGAAATACCTAACGTAACGCAAGTCACTTCAGCACAGAAACCACAATAGAAAATGATTATTTTTTTATGAAACATGGATATCTCATTGATTCTTGATTAGATAACGTTTTGAAAGGGTACCATTGTGAATTAGATATGAGAGAGTCACTTGAAATGACAACTACAGCAAACCTCAACTGTAAATTGAATTTTATTCAATTCAATTAGATCTTTGATTCGTAGCATGTCCAACAATAGTAAAAGATTTTATTTGATTAGTATAACCTCTATGCGGGAGAAATATATGAGATTGCGAGAACAGAATCCACCAATATTTACTCCTAAACCTCCCCCTACCATACTACCCTTTGATTCATTAGAAAGGTATATTTTTTTACAGAACAAAGACAATTGTTTTGTCTGTCATAAAAAAACGATGGGTTATGTTATTATATTTTATTTTATCATATTTTCAACTATTCTATTCAACTTTTCGCTAAAAATCAAAGGAGGTATAGGCTCACGGCGAAAAATAAGCGCTTTTGATCGCTACTAATCTTACTTCTGTCTGTTTCGTCTAAATAGAGAAAATTATTAAAAACGACTCATACCAAAGAACGCAGCGTCCATGCAAATTCAGAAGTTGCAACATTCAACTCGCGGATCGTAAAAAATCAATTTAATTTGAAACAAATAATTCAGATTTTACAAACAATAATCATTGATAATTTTTCGACGCATTCATATATAGTTGAAGTTCCAAAATATTTTTATTTTTTATGATCTGATAGTTTCTTTTGAAAACATTTATTCCTGTTTCGAATATTTTTGATAATGAAGACGACATTTTCATATTTTCCAGGAATGTTTGAACATCCAGTGCCAACGAATTATTATTTAAAAAAAACAAAATCAAAAATATTATAAAATATTAACTTTATACTAATGCGTCGAAAAATAATCGATGGCTATTGTTTGTAATACGTAAGTGATTTGTTTGGAATTGAATTAATTATTTTACGAACCCAGTTGAATGTTGCAACTTTCTGAATTTGTGTGGACGTTACGTTCTTCAGCATGAGTCGTTTTTAACAATTTTCTCCTTAAAGACGCAACAGATAGAAGTAAGATTAGTAGCGATCAAAAGCGCTTATTTTTCGCCGTAAGCCTATACCCCCTTTTATTTTTAGCGAACACTCCCTTTAAACTCTAGATACACCCAGCATGCAGTGACTGGTCGGTATAATCCACTCCGTCCAGTTAGAATCAGTCCACTCAATATAAGGTCAGATTTTCGTAAAATTATATACTCGAAAATATTTTTGAGGTGTAACTGAATCATTTTCAAATCTTCAACAGAACCAGTTTCAGGCCAAGATTTGTTTTCAGGGAATGTGTGAATAAGAAGGGTTCAAGTCAAAATAAGTGGTTTAATTGTTTTTTCGTTTTTTTTTAAGATTTCTGAAAGAACAAAAAATCCATTGCTTAAAAATAAAATTGGATAACTTGCATTCTCTTCTTTTGTAGCTGGGAATATTACGATGGTATGAAGAATACTCGGGATAAGAAGGGATTAAACTCTTATATCTGGTTACCATGGGACAAGGTTACCACAGAACCATCAGATATCAGGTAGAAGGGATTAAACTATATCTGGTAGAAGGGATTAAACTATATCGGTAGAAGGGATTAAACTATATCAGGTAGAAGGGATTAAACTATATCAGGTAGAAGGGATTAAACTATATCTGGCAGAAGGGATTAAACAATATCAGGGAGAAGGGATTAAACTATAACTGGTAGAAGGGATTATATATATCTGGTAAAAGGGATTAAACTATATCAAGTAGAAGGGATTATATATATCTGGTAGAAGGGATTAAACTATGTCAGGGAGAATGGATTAAACTATAACTGGTAGAATGGATTAAACTATATCAGGTAGAAGGGATTATATATATCTGGTAGAAGGGATTAAACTATATCAGGTAGAAGGGATTAAACTATAACTGGTAGAAGGGATTAAACTATATCTGGTAGAAGGGATTAAACTTTATCTGGTAGAAGGGATTAAACTATATCAGGTAGAAGGGATTATATATATATATCTGGTAGAAGGGATTAAACTATAACTGGTAGAAGGGATTATATATATCTGGTAAAAGGGATTAAACTATATCAAGTAGAAGGGATTATATATATCTGGTAGAAGGGATTAAACTATGTCAGGGAGAAGGGATTAAACTATAACTGGTAGAAGGGATTAAACTATATCAGGTAGAAGGGATTATATATATCTGGTAGAAGGGATTAAACTATGTCAGGGAGAAGGGATTAAACTATAACTGGTAGAAGGGATTAAACTATATCAGGTAGAAGGGATTATATATATCTGGTAGAAGGGATTAAACTATATCAGGTAGAAGGGATTAAACTATAACTGATAGAAGGGATTAAACTATATCTGGCAGAAGGGATTAAACTATATCAGGGAGAAGGGATTTAAACTATATCAGGTAGAAGAGATTAAAGTATATCTGGTAGAAGGAATTAAATATATATGGTAGAAGGGATTAAGTTATAACAGTTAGAAGGGATTACACTATATCTGATAAAAGAGATTAAGTTATATCAGGTAGAAGGGATTAAACTATATCTGGTAGAGGGGATTAAACTATATCTGGTAGAGGGGTAGAATCTGTGTACTTGTACTGTGCATTATATTTTTAGGTTTATGTACTCCTGCTGTACCTGCTGGTATAATCTGTGTAATTGTACTGTACACATAGAGAATAGAATATATATTAGAGGGGAATTTAGACAATCTCTCGGTATGAATTTTTTCAGTCCCTTTCAGCTGAAAAGGAGTTCAAAGTGTACAAATCATGTAAATGTTCACAAATTATATGCAGTAGAGTACATTAATACCGTATGTTCCCTAGACTATCCATTTCAATTTCGAATTTTTTAAAGCTGTTGAATAAACTTTATAAAATGAATAAGGTGAATAAAAACCATCATTTGATTTATAGTTATAACGGAAAATCATCGTTTGTAAAGTGAAAGACATAGAGTCTATGTGAAATGATCATTAGTCAATTATGAAACCAGCCTATTTCATAATTTGGTTTTCCTTTAATATTAATTTTAGATTTTCTATAAAATGCTGTTCCAGGGCCCAAAAGGTTATATAGCATAAATATGTGAAGTACACCTGCAGTATGGAAACAGTACAACAAAATGGCCGTTTTACACTTTTTCTAGTAAATTCCACTCTAATACATATTCTATTCTCTATGACTGTACATTATAATCTTAAGGTTTATGTACTCCAGCTGTAGCTGCTGGTATAATCTATGTAAGTGTACTGTTAGACCTCCATGGAACGAAAGGTAAATGCTCAATAATTGTTTTGTTGTACTTGAGTACTTCATAGAGTTTTAAATTTAAAAACCTTAAAACCACATATAAGATTTAAAAAAAACCTTATAATTCTTGTTGAGACATTCGGCTAAATTACAGAACTGTCGATTCTCTAAATTGCATATTTTAATGAAAAAGTTGAAGTCTTTGAAATTTATATAAAACCAATTATGTAAACATTTAAAAAGAATCGGAAATATAAATATTTAGTTTGAAAAAAAAAGAAATTTATATTTGACTCTGAACTACGTAGATTAAAGGCCAACTATGCAGTTACATTTTCCAGTTGCATTTAGTCGGAATTTTAAATGCATATTTTTGATGAAATATAAGTTAAGCCTAACGACTTGAAACTTTCGTATTCTGTCGATCCGAGGGCTTAATTTGGGTCTTATGTCTTGTAGCCTTAGTACAGGGTGTCCCAATAAACATGAGAGTTAAATGACGACTTATTTATCTTCTTTGTTCCGTGCAGGCTTCTTGCGTAACTTTGAGTTTGTAGAATTACAGTTAAAACATTAACACCAAAAAATACTAGTCTCGGGATTTCAGAAATGTGGTCTACTATTTTCTACCTTCAAAATTGATGGAGATATCAGGAAATTTGTCCAGATTCCAGTTAATTAGAAATCAACAAAACTGTTCAAATATTTAATATTTCTGTCTATTTTAAAGATACAATGAGAAGTTAGACCCCATTTTGGAAAGCACATAAGACAATCAATCTTTGTTTGACGCACTTCATGTCATTTATCAATTATGGGAAATCAAAGACGATCTTCAAGTCGTCTCTCAATTCCCATGTTTTTTGGGACACCCTATAGGTGTACTGAATGAGTGAAATAAATTGAAAGCTGATTTGAACCATTAGTTTAAAAAAAAATTACAACATAAAATCCGTGATCGTCGTCTCCGAAGTCTCCTTTTTTGTGGGTGACCCTGTAGGAGAATACAATCAAAATGCTACTAATCTGCAAATATATTGTGAGATGATGATTCATGTTTTACTTAGCTCCAAGGAAATATTGAATTAAAACTCTGTTTAGTTCTAGGCTGTACCGAGACACTAAGCATCAATTATATCAGAACAACATTACATCCTGCCTTATCATCTTTCTTGGGGTTCTCTTCGGACTTATATTTGGGTTCGTCTCCTTCCTCCAGATCTGGATTTTGACTCCCTCCAAGAAGCTCATGCAGATCCAAAGGATCATGATCAGGTTAGAAACCAACTAAGTCTAGGATGGCTAAATCTGTGGCTGCCAAAAAAAGTTAGTTTGTGATGTAAAATCAAGGCCAAACACGTTGCAGACACTTCAAAGTCGACCCGTTCTAAAAAATAAATTTTTTTCACACTGCAGTCTGGATCTTTGTGAACTGTAATGCTAATATTGTATTCACTAAATCAAAAGCAAACACGAAATAAGATAAAATTTTGTTTAGAAAGTTGATGAAAGTTTGCTTCGGAGAGATTGCAGCGAGTCTTGTTACTGTTTTCAGGTAAATTCATTTTTTCTCAGAAAATTTAGTTTGGAAAAAATATGCTTAGAGCTAGAAACTCGTGTATTGTCATGGATATCGAGATCAGTGCTTGAGCTAGAAACTCGTGTATTGTCATGGTTATCAAGATCAATGCTGGAGCTAGAACCTTGTGTATTGTCATGGATATCGAGATCAATGCTTGAGCTAGAAACTTGTGTATTGTCATGGATATCGAGATCAATGATTGAGCTAGAAACTCGTGTATTGTCATGGATATCGAGATCAGTGCTTGAGCTAGAAACTCGTGTATTGTCATGGATATCAAGATCAATGCTGGAGCTAGAAACTTGTGTATTGTCATAGATATCGAGATTAATGCTTGAGCTAGAAACTTGTGTAGTGTCATGGATATCGAGATAAATGCTGGAGCTAGAAACTTGTGTATTATCATGGATATCGAGATCAATGCTTGAGCTTGAAACTCTTATATTTTCATGGATATCGAGATCAATGCTTGAGCTAGAAACTCGTGTATTGTCATGGATATTTCACAAAAAATTTCGTGGATTTCAAAATTTTCAAAAATTTAATGAAGATCGAATTTTGATGGAGACAAATATTTGAAATTTTGATCATTCATAAACCTTCCCTGGGGTCCCTAGATGTCCCACAAAAAATTTGGGCCCGATCGGTTCAGCCGTTTTGACGTTTTTTGGATACAAACAAACAGACAAACAAACAGAGACAAGCCAAATTTATATATAGATACACAATGATTTTGTTTAGGGAAATGTTTTCTACCAGTAAGCTGAATATTTCAACTCTGCAGGTCTGTGAACAGAATATCTCTTTAGATAATGTTTTATTTTTAATAACAAACCCGTTTTTGCAATCGTAATACATAATTTCCGTCTATCTTGAAATGAGATTTTTTTTTAAAATAAATAAATATCAATTGTTTGAAATTTGATTTTTCTAGAAGTATTACAAGTTTTCCTCAGTATTTCAGTTGTTTATAGCAAAAATATGAAGAAAATTGGTCAATATTTTATTATTTTCAACATTCAATAAGAATACTTTACGTTGCGGAATTAATATTTTCATTGTATTTTTTCTACATTCATAGAACTGAGTTCTTGCTGCAAAATCTCCATATCTTTTCAACCCGATTTCGTCAACCTTTGCCATTTCAAAGTATTAGTTCTGTTAGATCAAAAAGTATAAAAAAAATCAAAGGTTTACACCATCAGGTTGCAAAGATACATCGAATTGGGACAAAAACTCAGTTTCTTTACTAGAGAATACAAAAAAGGCAAAGTTAAGCTTTACTTTTGAACATTGTTTCTACTTGGGAATCAGAATATTGTGACATAGGAAGACGACTTTCAAACTAAAGACTTTATCATAATTAGTCCAAACAACTTGATACTCAGCATGTGTGCAGTGTGCAAAGATCATTTCATTTTGAAACATGATTTTAAGCTTCCAGTAAAAGTTAAAACTATTCGTTTTGTTTTAAATGTCGTCTTCTGATTACACAGTTTTATGGTTCTTACTGTAAAAAATCTTATGTATTAAACCTGTTTTAAAAAATCCCTCTCCCTTAATTGAATTGATTAAATTATTAGTAAAACTTGTTTAGACTCCACTCAATGGAATATTTTTGGAGAAAAGGCCCAAATTTGGTTCTGTTGAAGAACCATTGTATCCAGGTACATAAATATTTGGTTCTGGTGAAGAACCGTTGTTGTTTTTGTCCATTTTGGTCAAAATGTACTTTTTCAAAGAAAATATGAAATTCAATCTTTTCTTTTAATCTTCCACATTTTTTATCGGATTATTAAGTTTGTAAGGGTAATGTTTTGAATTAACAAAGGGAGCGAACACTCCCTTTAAACTAAAAAAACAGTCTTCTCAACTACTCTTTTTTTTTGTAAAGTTAAAACCATGTACGAATTGTATTTGTAAAGGGAAATGAATGAGTTGAGTCAAGTTATTTTTTTCCCTTCTCAATTGATTGATTGTTTTCAGGAAAGATGGTGAATACAAGCAAGGAAAAGTATCCAGATGTGAAGCACATTAAACTACCAATGATGAATTACTAAGATAACCAATTAGCAAACTATTCATCAATTTTAAATTTTAACCGTCGGCGGCAGGCAGTTCAAATTCATTAAGTTTAGTCCCGGGTCAACCTTAAACTTTCACAATGCCATGGACTTCAGTTTTACTTTACTTTTTCGTAGCCTTAGTCATGTAAGATTTAGAAAGTACAACGCGATTTCTCTAACTTCACTAACCCGGAGTTATTTACGAATAACTGATATATCCTTGCGTGAGAGAGCGGGCACATTTTGGTTTACTATGAGAAGTAGATGTTCCTAATATAAAAATATAATATTTTGCAGTGTACTATGAGAAGTAGATGTTCCAAATAAAAAAAATATAATATTTTGCAGTTTACTATGAGAAGTAGATGTTCCTAATATAAAAATATAATATTTTGCAGTTTACTATGAGAAGTAGATGTTCCTAATATAAAAATATAATATTTTGCAGTGTACTATGAGAAGTAGATGTTCCTAATATAAAAATATAATATTTTGCAGTTTACTATGAGAAGTAGATGTTCCAAATATAAAAATATAATATTTTGAAGTTTATGAGAAGTAAAAGTTCCAAATATAAAAAATATAATATTTTGCAGTTTACTATGAGAAGTAGATGTTCCAAATATAAAAAATATAATATTTTGCAGTTTATGAGAAGTAAATGTTCCAAATATAAAAATATAATATTTTGCAGTTTATGAGAAGTAAATGTTCCTAATATAAAAAATATAATATTTTGCAGTTTATGAGAAGTAAATGTTCCGAATATAAAAATATAATATTTTGCAGTTTACTATGAGAAGTAGATGTTCCTAATATAAAAATATAATATTTTGCAGTTTACTATGAGAAGTAGATGTTCCAAATATAAAAAATATAATATTTTGCAGTTTACTATGAGAAGTAAATGTTCCATATATAAAAAAAAGTAAAAAAGGGACATTTTTTCTTATAGTACAAATTATAGACAAAAATGAAGTTCTCAGTCCATGAGTTTTGCATTTTAGTTGCTGAGACATAAGAGAATTTATATTTTACCAAAGGAATTGAGTCTTTGCCACAAACTCAACTTGTCTAATCTCTATATCATTGCAACTTGATGGTGTAAACCTCTGATATTTCAATCTTACATTATTTGATCTACCAGTATTCATAGTTTGAAATATCTAAGGTCTACGACATTGGGTTGTTAAGATATAGGAATTAGACAATCAGAGTTTGTGGTAAAGACTTAATTCCTTTAATGAATAAGCAAGATGTAGTTTAACTTCTGAATCCTGAGACCAAGTTAAATCTCTTCTCTTGAGCATGAACTGCATTGAACACAAGAAAAGTGGTTCTAATTGGTCTAGGCAGTTCAACTACTTCTTAATATTTATCAAAGTTCGTCCCAGTTTTCACGAAAACAAATTCTAACCCAATATTAATTTTCACCTTAATTAACTTTTCTAAAATGAAAAATAAAAAAATGAGTTTTTGTCACAAACTCAAAGGAATTGAGTTTTTGTCATAAAATATAATTTTCCAATTCCTATAACTTTGAATCCTTAGGGTGTAAACCTGTGATATTTCAAACTTAGCTTAATTGATCTAACAGAATTTATAGTTTGAAATATCTAGGATCTACATTAGGTTGTAAGGATATAGGGGTTAGAAAATCTAACTCAATTTCTTTTCTAATTCCTATAATTTTGCAACCTGATGGTGTAAACCTTTGATATAACTGAACTCATAGTTTGCAATATCAAAGATTTACGACATTGGGTTACAAAGATATTAAGAATAAGTTTGAACTATGGTATGATGTAAAATAAATGTCGTCTAAATGTTGAATAAACTAGTATAAGTTTTTTTTCAATTACTGTTAGCAGAATTGTAAAATGTGCTTCATGTAAAACTAAATAATTTAAATTATAAAGGAATTGAGTCTTTGTAATAAACTCTGATTTTCAAATCCATGATATCTTAGCGTAGACCTTTGCCATTTCAGATTAAATAATTAAAGTTTAAAATATCAAAGGTTTACACCATCCGGTTTCAAAAATATTGGTAATTGAAATTTGAATTTTGGCAAAGATTCAATTTCTTTATAGAATTCTAAAAAAAGGTTTCTGTAAATTACAAAAAACATTATTTTTCTTCAAAAAAAGGGGATACCTATAAAAATGAAAAAAATAAACAAATGTTTGTTGAACTGGCTCTAACAAAAAATCACATATAAAAAAGACAAAATTATAAAAAGGTCACATATTTTTTTATTTTATCTAATAACATAACATGAAAAAAATGTATTTCCTCTAGAATCCCATATATCTTGTTAAAGGAACAGAGTTTTTGCCACAAACTGTGATATTCTAATCTCAATATCTTTGCAACCCAATGTCGTAAACCTTAGTTATTCCAAACTATTTGAATTCTGTTAATTTAAATTATCTAAGTCATAAAAAGGTCAAACCACGAGCTTGCAAAGACACAGGCTATACAAAATTTTATTTGTTGGCAAAGCAAAACTTAATTAATTTCTAGGTGTGGGGAAGGTGGCGTTTGAACGATTTTCTATAATATTTCTTTAGGTTTTGTAAACTTCAGACTGTAACTTGGTTTTCACAAATACAGTTTGTAAACTGAACCCTGAAACATAAATCTACAGTACGCATATATACTTTATGTACAGTTTCTTGATGTACCTGGTCAGAATACTGAGTACACTGTACATTATTGGATCCCAGATGCTCCACACCTGTACATAAAACTATTAAAATTAAGGCATTAAAAATAAAAAGAATAAAAAATGTACATTGTACACTGATATACTAAGATTGCTACTCCTGTAAGTTATGCTGTCTAGCTACTATATATACTTACCAGAACCAGCATCAATGGAACAGTGCTACAAAGACTGCTACTCCTGCAAATGATACTACTTTTGTCTAGCTTCTTATATTTACCTGAACCAACATCAATGAAACAGTGCTACTCAGACTGCTACTGCTGTAAGTGCTACTGCTACTGATGTCTAGCTACTAATACTTACCTGAACCAGCACCAATGGAACAGTGCTACTAAGACTGCTACTCCTGCAAATGATACTACTTTTGTCTAGCTTCTTATATTTACCTGAATCAGCATCAATGGAACAGTGCTACTAAGACTGCTACTGCTGTAAGTGCTGCTACTATTACTGCTGCTAATCGAACCAGGATAATCAGGAGAACTAAAATATAATTTTTTTAACAGGACAATTTGGAATTTTTGTAATTTAATCTACATTGCGCTTAAACAAATGGCCGGTCACGTCCAAGTTTTTTTTCAAAACTTACTTACACATTAAAAATAAATTTTTTAACGTTTATTTCTTTTTATGTATTTTTTACATAATTATTAACGGAATAATTGCCATTTAAAAAAAAGAATCCATTCTTTTTCTTTTAACATTAACGGTTCAAATCGTCGTTAGCGGTTTCAATATTACCGCAGTATTACTTTCGTTTTCAAAAATTGCCGTTCGTTAACGGATTGCTACCCGGCCTTTCTTGAAAGTTAAAAATTGTACAATTGTATGTATTATTATACAACCTGTAAGTGAGGTATATGACAGCTAGTACGTAGAGAGGTATAGATGATACACCAAAAAAGACTGGATGCATGTACAAAAATCTTCCAGCAATTTGGGCCATTCTGTGCTGCTCTAGCCTGAAGCAATGATCTTCTGTTTCTGTGGCTAATAATGTTATTAGGTTTACTTAATAAACTTTTCTATTTTTAATAATATACAGTTTCAAAAAGAACTTTGGAGTTATCAAAAGAATTTGTAAAATGTCGTCTTGACACTTTTCCAATGGGTTTTATACCAGGCCCGTAGCTAGGGAAGGGGGCAAAGGGGCACAGGGGCCACACTTTCTGAGACAAAAAGGAAGAAAACGATAAAATGAAACCAAAAATGAAAGAAAGAAGGAAAAAAGGGGAGAAAATTGGAAAAAGATCTAATTTTTGTTACCAATATTATGTGTACAGGATTTTCTTTTCTTTAAATTAAACAAAAGTCGGTTGCTTTCTGAAACAAAATATTTGGAAATTTTTATTTCTATCCTGTCTCGTGAAATTATAGGGTTTATATTATTTTTTGTAGATTGAGAGGCTTCTCCTTTTCCCTTGTTTTATTAGATTAATGATTCTAATGAACAGCAAAAAGTAACCTACACTGACAAATTTAAATTATATACAGGTTTAGGAGAAGATGTTTGTACTTATCCTCAAGCTTGCACGTGAGTTTTTTTTCGAATTTTAGTATTGAGAAAACTGAAGATTTTCATGATTGATCTTTTCCTATCTTTTCAGGAATTGATAGCATTTACTTTCCCTGTATTAAAAATTAGCATTGACTATTCGTGATTCGAAAATGTTCAGTAGCACATTTTTTTTATAGTTTAAGTAAAATCTGTACATCTTATACCACCAGTTTTTAATAAGATGCAAATACCTTCTTAATAATCAATAGGAATTAAGGGAAGGAAAATAGGCAATATATCTATCTTAATAAACTATATAATGTGTGATAAGTTAAAAATCTAGTTTTTTAGTGTACATTCATTAATTTTTACCCTTATTGAGTTTTTTTCAGGCCAAAAAACATTCCCCCCGCGGCGCACCCCTTGTTTATTTATCTATGTTATTTATAACTTTTACTTTTGTGCCCCCCCCCCTTTCCTAGGTATGGGCTTGTTTATTACTATTATACCATCTCAGTAATTGTAAAAATAAATAAAAAAGTCGTGAAATATGCGTGAACAGTATTAAAGAGCACCATATAATTATTTAACTGAGAAAACAAATATCTGCAGCATTCCACTATTAGTAGGTTTAAAAAACGACATTTTATAGATTCTTTTGATTTCTCCAAGGTTCTGGGTTAACCTATAAATAAAGAGCTAAGCATAAAAATAAACAGAAAAATAATTAAATGCTAAAATTGAACTAAACACTAGTTTAAGTGCACATTTCAGGGGCTTATTTTCTTGAAGTTTTTATCCTTAAAACTTCCTTTAGGCACTTTTTTACACCAAATTGAGCTTTTCCTGACACTTAAGAAAAACAAATTTTTCAAGCTAAGTTGATAATTTTTAGGCCATTTTTTTATCTTATTTGTATTGTTCGTCGCCCTAAAATTGACTTTTTTAGCTTTTTTCTTTGCTTGCCCATTCATTTCGTTTTCTACTCCATTTTGTATTCCCTTTTATTTATTTTTCGTACTTATTCTGATCTGGGATGATTGATTCTTTTCTGTTAGGTTTGAAATATGCCTCGAAATCAGACATCGAAGAAAGATCTAAAAAAAAGCTACTTAGATTTTAAATTCTCTCCAAAGGAAATGAGTTTTTGCCACAGACTCAAATTTTCTACACCCTATATCTTTGCATCCCGATGTCGTAGACCTTTGATATTTGAAATTATGAATTCTGTTCGATCAAAAAGCCTATGAGAGGTTTATACCAGCAGGTTGCCAAGATATAGGGAAGTTAGACCAGGTTAATTAATGTAACGGTTAGCACTGTACTAAGCAACAAATAACTGTTCGTTTTAATTTTAAACTAAACCCTGAAGCAGGTTCAGGGTACTGATTAAACCCTGTTCACTAAACTACCCCCCTGGATTACCTGAAGCAGGTTCAGGGATACTGATTAAACCCTGTTCACTAAACTACCCCCCTGGATTACCTGAAGCAGGTTCAGGGTACTGATTAAACCCTGTTCTTGAAGCAGAAGGAGCACGTTCAATTCTTCAACATTTCATAATTCAAAGATTATAAATTATAAAATTAGAATTCAAAGGCCGGTCTTGTCACTAAAATTGTGTTATTTGAAAAACTAACAATTACATTTTTAAAAAAAGAAGAGTTTTACGACTCATGACTTGTAAATAATGTTTCCTAGAAGAATAAAAAATAATGAAATATATCTAAGTTCACTATTTTACCTGTTAAACTCTTCCTCTGCGCTTCTAAAACAGACGTTATTAAAAATCTATACATTACAGTCTTACAGAAAAATAAACTGGAGAATAGGAGGTGGATTTTACTTGTGCGCAATTGCGAGCCCTGTAAACTCCTAACAATTGTGCGCAATTTGATAACAGTCGCGCGCAATTCCACACAGTTGCGCGCCATTCCGCGCAATGGCGCGCAACGAAATTAAGATTGGAAACCCTAATAGGAAGTTGCCTGTTGATTCAAGTGATAATTATAAATAGTTCAATGAGCTTTACAAAAATCAATTTTGCAGTGTACACAACCCCATTTCACTTATTGTTTTTCAAGCTAGGTATAACAATGTCGTCTTCTTATTTCAAAGTTTTATACAGGGTGTCTCACATCATATTAGATGAGTTTAAATAAGTTTAAATTGAGATTTAAGGAACTAATTAGGAAATTATTTAATTAATGAATTATTTTAAAAAAAGTATTTAAGGCTAATATAAACATTTTCTTGCAAAAAATACCAGGTTTTTTAGTATTAAATGCGTGTTTTGACGTTAATAAAGATTGGAGATAATCCAATATGATATGGGACGCTCTGTATGTATTCCAATGAATTCATGTAATTAACCAAGGTTCTCCACAAAGGACGAGACTCCAAGACGACTGTATTGAATTTAATCTGGCCCTTTAAATTCATGATTCCCTGCAACTGTAATCTTGTTTCTTTCTTTGCTAATAAGCCATTAAAATACTTTATTTGAATTTAAACTTGGAATTGTCATATTTCAAGAATTTTCATTCGTCTTTGCAGTCTCATTCTTTGTGGGTAACCCTGTACATTCTGTTCGGGACTGTAAAAACATTAACCTGAGATGCGCGTTGAAGATAAAACTGTATTCATCATCACGTTTTTCATCCAAACTCCGTAGATATTCATCCATAGCCAGGTCATCCATGTTCATTTCATTCAAACCATTTATAGAATCCATCATTTCCTCATCCACTTTTAGAGTTCTACAATGTCATGACAGGGCTTTATTTATATTAAAATATAGAATTTAAAATTTCTAAAAATAAGACAAAATATACCAAATAATACAATACTTGTAATGGTTAAGAGGAAGAGATGGCTGAAAATATTCAAGAGAAAAATTTGTTTAACCAAATAAAAGAGATTACTTATATTTTAAATTATACGTTCACGATGTACTGTCAACTGACCCTACTACCTTAAAACAGAATCGTTAATCGTTATATCCTTTAATAAGAACTAGGTTTTCTGTGCACTTCGCACCCATCTTCTATTTCAATTGTGAAATTTTCTCTTTGTATACATTGTAAAACAAAAACAAACAAAAATTCGCAGATTTTGTGAGAAAAAAAATCGTGCTTCTTTGAACTTTAATACAAATCGAATTTTGTTAGGTTCCCTGGGGTCATGTGAGATTCCACAAAAAATTTTGGCCCAATCGGTATAGCCGTAAACCGTTTATTGGATAAAAACAAACAGACACCCAAACAAACAGACAAACNGAAATTTCCTCTGGCCGTTGATACCAGCTCCAGTAGTAACGGGTTAAATACAATCAATATTATTTGTTTGTCCAGTTCTCAAACTTGGGTTGAATGAACTAGGCTATGGTTCTACATCCTTGGTGGGTTTACAATAGGGTTACCCACAAAGTAGTAGACTTCAGAGACGACAGTACAGAATTTATACTGTCTGTGTCCTTATATGTTTGATGTTTGTGAAAAGCAAATATAGTTTTACTAAACAATTTCACTAGTTTAGTTAAATGGGTCTGTTTACACTGCACAATTTCTGTTTATTATACTCCTTGCACTGTAAACTTTATTCTAAAAGTCGTCTTCCTATTTCAGATTCCCGGTATTTTGACTGTACATGCAGTGCTCGGTGTACAGACCCTACAGAGTTTGGAACATAAGCCAGCAGTGTGTACCTCCGTTCTTGTGTTCAGTGGTCGTCATTTTAATCAATTAAACCAAGACGATTTTCTATATATATATACCTCTATTTTTGTGTCCAAGAGAACAGTGTAGCGTGCTACCATTTTGTTCATCAACTATCTGCATTGACTGTACATCAGACTCTTTAAAGTTTTCCTAGAACATTGTAAAGTTAAAGTGGTAAAAATAATGTAGAATTTTGCAAAAATTACTTTTTCTAAATCTTGCACGGTATGTTTATCATAAAATTGGAGTAAAAATTGTAAGGTAACACAGTCGTGCTACAGTTAAAGCCTAAATAAGCCATACATCGAGAGAATTTATCAAATGTCGTATTCTTCACTTTCTGAATATGAAATGTTGCAGGTATTTAGTTTTTTAATTAAATGACTATATGGAACTCTTTAAAACTGTTCACGCATATTCATGGCTATTTATTTATTTTCGCAAATACTGAGATTTACGTAAAATAGTATAAAATCCATTGAAAAATTGTCACGACGACATTTTATAAGTTCTTTAGATGTATGACCCATTTAGGGTTTAACTGTAGCAACTCTATAATAAATTAACTTATCTTAAGTTTACCGTCGTATGTATTTTATAATCTTCCATATATCTTTTTTTCTTGTTGTACAATGAAATATTTTCAAACATTTCTGTTTATTGGTTCCAAAAGGAACTGCAAGCTCTTGCCACAAACTCAAATTGTCTAACCTTGTAATCTGATGGTGTAAACCTTTGATATTTAAAACTTTAAAATTTAATCCATCTGATTTTTTAGTTTAAAATATCAAAGACTTTGGGTTGCAAAGATATTGGGATTAGAAAATCAGATTTTGTGGCACGAATTCTGTTCCTTTTTATCAATCGTAGGAGATCAAAACAATGTCAACTTTAATATTCTTTATTTAAATCATAAATCTAAAATCTGTTAAGTTTTGTACCTTAACATACTGCAAGGTTGGGATAGGTATCCGTTTTGGATTCTGAATATCTCTAAAAACACATTTTTTAATGGAATGACATCATTTGACCTACTTTTGTTTGACCTACTATTGTTTGACCTACTATTTTGCCCTAGACAGAGAAAGGATAACATCATGTTACTGTTGTTTTAAAGGTTGATTTTAAAAAAGAAGATTCGCATAAAAAATTATACGCATATATCATACTCTTCATATATTGTAATCCTAAAATTTTAATAACATTTTAAACATAAAATTCTATATTTTACTCACAATAAAGTGTAGAATAAACGATGTTTTACTCTCTTTGAAGGAAAAATGATAATACAGATTATTACGTATGAGGACATATGAAGTAAAGGACAAATGAAATTTAGAACATACGAAGTTTAGGACATATGAAGTCTTGGACAAAATAAGTGTAGGACAAATTAAGTGTAGGACAAATTAAGTGTAGGACAAATTATGTGTAGGACAAATTAAGTGAAGGGCAAATTAAATTTAGGGTTTACAAATGATGTGCAAATAAAGAGAAGGACAAATGAAGAGTAGGACATATGATGTGTGAGAAAAATACAGATTAGGACAATCGTAGGACAAATGATTTTGCTGTTGAAGAAAAAAAATGTTTCACTTACGGACTAAGTAAACCTCTGGATGTTGTCGGTCGAGAAGATGATGGTCTGAAGAAATAAATGTTTTTAAAAATAAAATAAATTTTACAATTTTTAAAATCTAAAATGTTGAAACTAAATAGTCGCTCGACTTAAACTCTGACCCCTGTATCTTTGTAACCTAATGGTTGAATATTTGATCTTAAAGAATACAAGTTTATATAAGATAATATTTCAAGAATTGATATTTCAAGAATTGACATTTCCAGAATTGATATTTCAAGAATTGACATTTCAAGAATTGACATTTCAAGAATTGACATTTCAAGAATTGACACTTCAAGAATTGATATTTCAAGAATCGATATTTTAAGAATTGATATTTCAAGAATTGACATTTCCAGAATTGACATTTCAAGAATTGACATTTCAAGAATTGACATTTCAAGAATTGACATTTCAAGAATTGACACTTCAAGAATTGACATTTTTAGAATTGACATTTTTAGAATTGACATTTTTAGAATTGACCAATTTTATTCTTTACTTTTTATTAAATGGAACACATTGTAGTTCAGCAATATTATTCAATGAAACAAAACGTTTTCTAAACCTAATTTGGTTCAATTAGGACACTGAGTTTCTTCAAAATTTGCACCATTTATTAACTTTGAGTTTAAAAAAGGAAATAAACATTCCATTTTGTAGACAAAGAGTTAAAGCAAAAATTTCAAGGAATAAAAATAAAGGTTCCCTGAGTGCATCTTGGAAGCCTAGAGCTTGATTGGAATATGTTGGACGCAAAATTAGACTCATTATTTCCACCATATCTCTANAGACCTTAGATGTTTCCAACTATGAATAAAATAATCTATAATCTATGAATGAAATATCAAAGGTTTGCAAAGATATAGAAATTAGAAAACTTGAGTTTGTTCTTTGACTAAATAATGCGGAATTCACCAATTATAAATGTATTTTGACATTATTAGTGAAAAAAAAATCAATTCCTTTGAGTTATGATGGATAATGCTCTGTAAAATTAGACTCACTATTTCCACCATATCTCTACAAATATTCAATATGTTATATGTATTATTAGTGAAAAAAAAATCAATTCCTTTGAGTTATGATGGATAATGCTCTCACTATAAAGTAGTTTAACTACTTGCACAATGCAAATAAAATGTTTATAAATTATCATCTTAGAACAGATTTCTTTTTAATTTCCTACACTATCCCATTGTTTGTAGGTCTGGGTATATGAATTTTTATACAATTAATGGTTTGGCAAATTAATTTAACGATTCTCTTTGTTTGTTAACTAAATGTTCCGCAATTTTTTTAAGATTTCCGATTGTTTGATGGTTATTGAAACTTGTGTTACCTCTGCTGATGATTACAAGGTTCTTCAATAGATGTCACCGGTATATTGCACTGTTACCAAATTTTATTTATAATTTAGTAATTTAAAAATATAATATTTTCACATTATTGTAGTTCTCAGCATAATTTCATGTGCCCATTTATGCAAAAAGGACAATGCCCGAATCCCAACAGTACCCGTGAAAGCTTTGTCTAAGTATGAATTAGATATAAATGTTTTGCAAACTGATTAATTTTAATTGAGGTTTCTCTATAACCAAGGGGACTTGCGTATTTCTACTGCAAAAAAATTCAGGAATTATTAGTTTTAAATCTATGCAAACTACAATATCTTCCACATTTTAACAAAGAAGGGTCACTTGAAATTATGCTGACAAACACAATTAATAAGTTGATTTCATTTTGTAAGCACAAAAACAGCTCACCAAACTCTGCGAAAATGTTGAGATATATTTTAGGTTTAATATTATTAATTTAAGAATTGTATTCATAGAATTAGGTTCAGTAAATTTCAAGAATGGACATTTCAAGAATTAACATTTCAAGAATTGATATTTCAAGAATCGATATTTCAAGAATTGATATTTCAAGAATTGACATTTCCAGAATTGATATTTCAAGAATTGACATTTCAAGAATTGACATTTCAAGAATTGACATTACCACTATATCTCTGCAAATATTTAATGCAAAATCAGAGCTTACTATTCCCAATATCTCTGCAAATATTCAATATGTTAGATGCGAAACTAGACTTATTTATCACTATATCTCTGCAAATATTCAATGAAAAATTAGACTTATTTTCTCACCATAGCTCTGCAAATATTTGATGCAAAATTAGTCTCTTGAACTCTTAAAGGTTAAATTAGGTATTTTGTCTTATTTATAGTCTTATTAAATGAGTTTGTGAAAAAAAGAAACAATTCTAAAGTTGCGGGTAATCATGAATGTAAGGAAACATGCAGTGTAAATTCCGAGAAGTCGTCTCTGAAGTCTCATCCTTTGTGGGTAACCCTGCAAGTATAGTAACAAAAGAATAAAAAAGAAAGAGTTTTTACACAGAGCCTTCATAAAGCTTTACACTTGAGCCCGATTTTATAATTTAGGGTTGACTCTGTATGTCCTGCATGTTAGAAAAACGCGTATAATGCCGACTTTTTGACTTACTGTGACGTCCATGAGCGTCCTCTGACAGGAAGAATCTGACTCTAAGTTTTCTCAAGGTTTACCTGAGATTTAGAGCAGAGAATGTACACAGCATAGAGAACCTGGTGGAGTAGAACCAGGGGAAGAATATTTACCAGGAGTAGGATAGGGATACATAGTACTTCAGACTGTAGATACTCCTGCATTACAATACAATACAGTACACTTAATAGTACTTATTATTGTAGTGCAATACAATATAGTATACTAAATAGTACTTCAGACTGTAGATACTCCTGCATTACAATACAATACAGTACAATTAATAATGCTTATTACTGTAGATACTTTTGTAGTACAATACAATATAGTATACTAAATAGTACTTCAGACTGTAGATACTCCTGCAGTACAATACAATACAGTACACTTAATAATGCTTATTATTGTTGATATTCCTGTTGTACAATTCAACACAGTACACTAAGTAGTACTTCAGACTGTAGATACTCCTGCAGTACAATACAATACAGTACACTACATAGTACTTCAGACTGTAGATACTTATGTTGTACAATACCACACAGTATACTAAATAGTAATTCAGACTGTAGATACTCCTGCAGTACAATACAATACAGTACACTAAATAGTACTTCAGACTGTAGATACTCATGTTGTACAATACAACACAGTATACTAAATAGTACTTCAGACTGTAGATACCCCTTCAGTACAATACAATACAGTACACTAAATAGTACTTCAGACTGTAAGTACTCCTGTAGTACAATACAATACAGTACACTAAATAGTACTTCAGACTGTAAGTACTCCTGTAGTATAATACAATACAGTACACTAAATATTACTTCAGACTGAGGATACTCTATTACTGCAATACAATAAAGTACACTAAATAGTACATAATATTGTAGATACTTCTGCAGTAAAATACAATACAGTACTCTAAATAGTACTCAGACCGTAGGTACTACTGTATTATAATAAAAAACAGCATACAAAATAGTACTCTGTCTCTGTAGATACCCCCGAAGTACACTAAATAGTACTTCAGAGTGTAGGTACTCCAGCAGTACAATTAGATACAGTGCAAAGGTTCTTGAGGTTGTATATACTGCCGTTTTTGTATAATAAATAATATTTTATAGTTGCAAATATTCCTACCACAGTACGATGAATATAACAACATCTTTCTTCTGTATGAGATTACAATACATAGAAAGACAATCTGATAATAAATAAATACTTTAGGCATTAAACTGTAAATAACATGTTGAAGGTACCTTACCTTGCTAGATACTTGGTAAAGTTTCTGGTTAAAATATGGATCTAGTTTACCAGATGATGTGGATAAAAAGTGTCCTAGTGGAAAACAAATAATTCAAAAAAATTAATCTTAATAGTTTTTTCAATTTTTTATCTGCTTTAAAAAGAAAATAACTGAATATTATATATTTAAAGGGACTGTAAGTGTATTATTTCAAGTGACTCTTCATGCAGAAAGGTCAATGCCCGATTCACAACGGTACTATTAAAACCCTAATCTGATTAAAATGTTGAAGATAACTCCGTTTTTATGACAATCACAAATGAAAATAAACAGTTTAAAAAAGAATAACATGAGTCCGACTTTAAAGAATTTGAGCCGCGTCTCAAATATGGTTGTTTCTACATAAAATTGTATTAAATTTTTCAAAATTTAAGCAATGGAAACAAGTTTTTGGCAGATTTGAGACGCAGCTCAAATTCATTAAATTCGGACTATGGAAAACTAAATCATTATCAGACAAAGCTTTTCAGGATACCGTTGTAAATCGGACATTGCCATCTTTGCATGGAGGGCAAGGGGGCTGGATCTTAGCTACCTCTCCGTGTGTATTTGTATGAGTGTATACTAATAAAGGATCATAGAGAATAGAATATATAGAATTTTAATTCCTCTCTATATATTCTATTCTCTATGTAAAGGATATTAAGGGATTATTGCCTATTCATACAGTACAAACATCAAATATGCAGTACGCTTTCGGAGTTCAGAGATGATATTTTAAAAGCTTAAACCCAAGTAAAACCCGGCAATGCGTCTGCTTAGACCCAAGTAAAGCTTAAGTCAAGACCCAGGTTTTGGATGGCCGTGAGTGTAGTAAAAACCAACCATCTTGGCTTTTTCCCTCTTAAAGGCTGATCGTAAATTTTGTAAAATTTTTTATATTTGTACAGTTAAAATCTCGAGAATTATTTGCGGTGTCAAATTTTATTAAATATATAAAATAAACATACTATATATGTATCTACATAAAGTTTGCAAATTCGAAATTTACATCTCCTTGTAACAACTGAGCTTTTAAAATCTCATCTCAGGTGTATGGTTAGGTTATGTATCATTAATTTTACTCAGTTTTCTTAGAACCGCTTATTAACGATGAAATATTGCTCTGTAAAAGGGTGTAAGTACGTCTTCCTGTGAAAATGTAATCCTGCACACGATAAAGGAGTAGTAGATTTTAATAGTTACAAGGAAAACAAATTCTCAATTTAAATATGTTCAGAAATAACCCCAGGGCCCAGAGCACTGTAATATACAGATTGTCCTTAGAAGTGAAGTACATGGCCTGTACAATTAGTAAAGGATTAGCGTACATCATAACTCTATATACTAAAACCTTGTTGATGGAGGGTCACTTGAAATTACGCTTACAGTCACTAAAGAAATTGCCAGTTCGGGGTGTAGATGACTATTTGTTGTTTTGTTTTTAGTTTTATTATTGGTGAAGTTATTTTGAATGCAATGCAGTGCTGTAGGCATTTGTGTAAAGTTCAAGACTATGGTTTGGTTTTGATTTCTTAGTTTACAATGAGAAAATTATAAAGATACAACAAATTTTATAACGGCAAAGATACATAAGCCTAATTTAGATATTTCATCTAATGTTATTTGAGATTATTTTTCGAATTAATTGTTCTTTTTTAGCGTGATCACGAATTTTTAATACATCTTTTTTTTTGCAGATTTTAAAACAAAACAAAAGTTTTAAAAATACAGTAAAAAAATATAAAAAAATGAAGAATAATAAAAAGTTTTTAGTTTTAATGAAGGAAGTTTTTTATTTGTTTTTTGCCCCTGTTAAAATTGACACGGCAGCAGCTACTGTCGTTATCCAGCTTGACATGCACAGAATCTGACCAATTCCAAGTTCATCAAACATTATTTTTTTTCTCAAAAGAATCAGTTTTGTCAATTACCGCTATGTCAACTAGCTAGATTTACCACATCTAGCTGAGCACACTTGTTAGATTTGCATACTTTCTGGTCATATTTTTTCCGAACTGTGTATTGCAGTTGCATACTGCATATTGTTGTTTGAAACCAGTTTTAAATTGTAAACAAAATAAGATATAGAGACGTAGACGTAACTGATCTCATCACGCAACTATTTGATATAGAGTTGATAGAGTTTTTACCATCGAATTGTAAAGGTTATAAATCTAGAGTTTGAGGCAAGTATTCAGTTACTTTTTATTCAAAAATGATCAAATTTAGTCAATCACGAATATTTCTTTTTCTTTTAACAAACTGTTCCTTGATGAAACTATTAAGCTCTCTCCTTTTCTCCACAGGTAGCTTCCTGTCACACGAACAAATAGTTTTTTTTGAAGAAAATAAATCTAAGTATTGTCAATTTTTGATAAAATTTAGTAGAAATTCAAAGGGTAAAAGTTGAAACCTACGATTTAACATTTAGTAAACAAAATTTTGATATTTAAATTTTAAATTTAAATTGGGTAAAAAAAGTTTTTAATTTTATGCCTAGCACAGTAAAAAAACATGAAGTAAAAATATCTCAATTTCCAGGTATTTTAACTATTTTGGTCTATTGAAACATTAATTTTTAATTTTATGCCTAGCACAGTAAAAAAACATGAAGTAAAAATATTTCTATTTCGAGATATTTTAACTATTTTGGTCTATTGAAACATTAAGACTATTTTCCTGTACATAAATCCATACACAAAGGTCTGAACAATGTTTCCTATGCAAAAAAAAAGTTTAATCTCTTTTTAACCTTCCCTTATGTTTTTTTTCTTCTAATTCTAAGAGTCGAAAACGCAATGCGAACGAAAAATTAATACGTTTGATGTATCATGTAATAGTTTAAAATTCCAACCTCAGAGTCCAAAACTTAAGACAGGTTATCGTTATAAAATCCAGTTTTGAAACTCGGGTTTCACGAATGGGGTTAGGCAGTTTTGTGGGTATGAATATTTTTTGATGAACTATTATTTTATTTAGTTTCTTCATATTCTCAACTTTTTTTGAATCTATTAAATCAAAATCTACATAAATATTAAGATCCCCCTAAAAGTTTCCTTCAATGATACTCTTTTAAATTTCGGAATACCTGGAATACACATGCCAAGGTGAAGAGAGAATGAAACACTCCAGGTTTTCGAGATGATGGTGGGAGGGAAGTCCATCACCAAGAACCAAATCATACAGTGCATATTCACTAGAAGTTTATTATTAAAAAGTATAAGGTCCTTAATCTTCCGCTTTGTGTTTTAAATCTGTGACTCTTAGGCTACATTCGGATTTAATCAATGAGAGCACAGATATAAAAATGTTCAATCAATCAGAAGCCAGACCATAGAATTGGTTTGATTTCTGAAGTAAAGCTGTATCTCATTGGTCAGACACGAGGCCAGGGATGGATACATTTTAAACCTGTCAGTTTTAAAGTTTGTCTACTGGAGATCCAGTACTGTACACCCCTGTTAAGCCAATCTATATCCACAATGATTTGGCCACAGATTCAAATTCAATATCTGGATTATTTAGATTTAAGGTTTATAAAGAGTTGGTTTTTACTGGTGTGCAATAATTTTCATTGAATATTGCAAATCTTTAAACTTTCTAGTGATTCAAATAAAAATGTTTATATTGAATTCCCCCCGCAAGGTTTTCATTATTTCATTGTGTGGCTCTAACTAGGTCTGCAAAGTATAGCAAGCATACTCTCATGGAAACATCAGCTTCAGGGCAGGTAATGTACTTTAAACCATAAAACAGTTTTCTTATAGGGTTTCCAATCAGAATTCCGTTGCGATGAATTGCGAACAATGATTGCTTCTGATTACGCCATTTCATTGTGCGGAATTGCACTGTAATTGCTAACAAGGAAGAAATTAAATACTCGCGGAATTGTGTGTAACGGAATTGCACGGAATTGCGTGTAACGGAATTGCTTTTCCATCTGAAAATCAATAATTTTAAAGTTGTGACTTACAAAGGAATTGAGTCCTTGCCACAAACTCTGATTTTCTAATCCCCATATCTTTGGAACCCACTGTCGTAAAACTTTGATATTTCAAACTTATAGTATTCGATCTAACTGAAGTCATAGTTTGAAATGTCAAAGGTCTACGACATTAGATTCCAAAGATAAAGGGATTAAAAATCAGAGTTTGTGACAAAGACTCAATTCCTTTATGCAGCAGATATAAGAATGGAAATCTCTCTGTATATTTTAAAATAATCGAGGTCCGAGGGTCACTTGTTTCATCAGTTTTAAAATTTTAAAGTTTCTTGTGGTTAAACTACAATTTAAATTAACAATTTAATATGGAGTTTTCATTTGTTCACCTTGGATGAACATTAAAATGGAAACTTTTGGTTAAAATTGTAAGGTTCGTTTAATCAAAATTGATATTTTGCTACAGTGGGAACCAAAAAACTATGGCACAGAAAGACAACATTACAGTACGTATTTGATGTTGTTACAAAGCAAAAAATTTTAATTAGTAACAATTATTAAATCACTTCTTCAGTTAAATGGGTCTCCTTGAGTCAAATATGTCGTCTTCCTTTGCCACAGTTTTCTAGTTATCGTGCTGCATATGAATATTTTAAAATAAAAGATTGAGTTTAAATTCAATTTTCCTAGTATTTGAGACTGAAATGTTATTAGTGAAGTTCAGTTTATTGTATGGCACTAACAAAGTTTAACTTGATTTTTTGTTGTTGAACGGAATTGTGTAATAATTAATTGCATTTATTGCGTGCCATAAGGTTTAAATTGAATTTAATATAAAAAAATTGAAACACAAACGCAAGAAAGTTGGACGGAATTGCGCACTATAGCGCGCAATTGCCCGCAATTCCGTAGCGTTTATTGCAACCAATTATTACGGAATTGCGCGCAATTAAATTCCCCACAGAAAAAATGGAATTGACATTTATTGCAATAAATCAAACTGTTCTTCTTGCCATATAGTTATTGGATTTTTTACACTTAGAACAAGTAAATTATATTACAAAGTTGACATTTTTTGTTGAAAGAGAATTACCTAGACAAATGAGAGTATGCGCAATGGCCCGGTTTATGTTGATTAGTTTAATGGCTGCTAGGAGTGAGGACCAACGGTGTTTCACCGTCATCTCTCCACCAATCACCAGTAGATTGCAGAGCACGCCAAACTAAATATAGCACTACTTTAACAACTTAATAAGGTAGGTGGGACAAATTAACAACTTGATAGACCAGGGAATTTATTTACAAATATGCGCGATGCACTTAGTCCTCTGACTGCCAGCATTATATTATTGGGATCGTCACTCGTCAGGTCTCTTGTCAATTCCAACTGCACGTTCTGGTCAAAAAAAAGTTTGCTCTGCGCATGATGCGCATTTTAAATTTTATCTATAATTCTGATAATCGCGCGGGGATTAGAGACTTAACAATTCTTCTATATAGGGGATATAGAGTATAGAGGGGATATAGACTATAAAGGGGATATAAGCATAATTGCTTATAGAGGATGAGGTCATGAGTAAAATAATAACTTCTCTTGTTGCATGAACAATAAGGTCTTTATCAAAACAATTCACAATTGAAATAAAAAACTTCTGAATTTTACTGTTTTAATGATGAATGATTGATTGATTGATTACCAGGAAGAAGAGAAGAAGAACAATGGGTCCAGCCACATTTTCAAATACAGGAGTTTCTCCTAAATTAAAATAACTATTTAAAATCCTTGTTTAAAACCTAAATTTTGATCTTTTGTGCATGGAAAACAAGGTTTTCATTTGTTTATAGTTGGATAGTTCACCAATGAGAGGTCTGAAAATATTTTCCACATAAATGAATCAGAAGTCAAGGGAAGAACAGATTTATAGGGATTTTTATTTTCATTGATTAAATTAGCTTGAATTTTTGATTTTCAAATGTAAACCAAATAATAAAATTATTAATCAATTTTTCTATAAACATAATTAGTACTATTATAGGAAATAATTCTTTACAACATAAAAAAATGAGTTCTTGTCTTAGACTGCTTTAAAAAATTGACTAGTCAAGTAAATAATTTAAGGTGTTAAAGATGTTTTCTTTCCAATTCATCTTACTTAGAGTAGCATAAACAATTAAACTATGAAAGTTATGCATCAAATTGTAAGACCGCGTTGACTTTGAATTTTCACAATGCCTTGGGTTTTAGGTTTACTTCACCACTCATTTATACTTTTTTGTAGCCTTGGACATGTACATGAAATAGCTTCAGTTTAAAAAAAGCAATTTGCAAAACCCTGTTAAACTTTAAATGAGAGCAATTGCATATTTTTTATTTACGATTTAATCCGATTCATTTGAACATACCTCTTACACACTAATTATTTAAGCAGCTTCATGACCTTGAGCAGAAATTCAAGGTTAAACCATGTCATTGTAATTACTCACCTGGCGTAAACTGAGATGAAGACGGTATCCAGCTTTCTGTACATTGATCATGTTGATTTTTTAACAAAGTTAAGATGCTAAGAGTGTCAGCTGGGACCGAATTTAATGAATTTGAGCTAAGTCACTGAACTTCCCACTGTCGGTTTAAATTTAAACCACCGATTCAAATTTAAACCAGTCCTAGCCAGTTCAGCGACCCAACTAATTCATTCAATCCCTAATTCAACAACAATTTAAGGCTTTTAAAAATCTGTTTTTTTTAACATTAATATTCCTGTGTGCGCTAGCTCATCAGCATCTTGGAAAGTAGTTGAACTAAAATAAGCCTCAGTTGCTGTTGACATGGATGTTGTAAGAGATGTTCCTGGAGGTATTGTTAGATCTGGGACCAGATTTATTAAAAAAATGTAGAGTGTGTTTTTAATCTTTGTGACAGAAACAATCTCAAGAACTGACGAGGGTCAACCCAGACCGTAATATATTTTCAATAAATGTGGAACTAACATCTACTTTTTTACTCTGCAGAGGTTTGGTCCATCACCATCACCGAATTTTAAAATGTAGAGTTTAGTTAATCTTTACTACTTAATCTCAGTTTCAAATATTGGCGCTTTTTATTTTGAGGTTAACTGCTTGATCCCTCAATTGAACACAAAGGGATATCAAAAAGGAATTAAATTAACTGGTAGGTTTGCAAGATGGAGGTCAATGATTGATACAGATATTCGCAACAAAAAAATATTGGTTCAACCTAGCTTCTACACAGTTCAACTCTGTATTGCTAATAATTAAGTCTAGTTCCTGGAATAAATGTGTAGGGCAGAATCTTAGGGAATAAGGAGGTAGTTGAGTTCATGTCTGCAGAGGATGTTTTAGCAACTTCAGAGTTAGTTTCAGGAATCCATGCTTCTATAGATGCAGGAGTCCATGCTTCTATGGATGCAGGAGTCCATGCTTCTATAGATATGGGAGTCCATGCTTCTTTAGATGCTGTCGAACTTTTCCAGGGCGTATCGTAAGGCTTTGGCAGTTCCCAGGGAGAATTGGAGGTGTTCTTACCGCCCCATTTCCATCTCTCATCTTATAATATTGTTAATGAATTCTTTGGTTTCATTAATTCTGAATTTATTTATATTGCTCACTTCCTATCGACATGGGGGGGGGGGGTGGGAACACTGGAGACAAAAAATGATATCCCTGTGGAAGTTGTGAAAACCTTTACCTCTGACAATACAAAAAAACGACATTATTATAGTTTGACCTTTAACCTTGTGAAAAAAAACATCTACAAAATCTTAAAATACTACACCATCAAACATGGTAACAATAAATGACAATATAAAATCTATAATTTCAATGGTTTCTGCTAAAAATAAATACCTGATTTATTTTTGGAAAGATTGTTTGTCCATGTAATCCTGGCCTATTGAAATATTTAACAGTTAGATATATTTTTATCACTTAAATATCGATATGAAATTCCACATTACATTGTTACACATCACATTTATCCCTCTAAAAGGCAAGAGTTTCCAGTGATATCTACGTGAAATGTAAAATATATAATTAAATAATGTTGTTTAAATACATTCAAAACTCTGACTTCCTAATCATTAAATCTGTTCAACCTGATGTTGAAGAACTTTTAAATTTGGAATTCACTACTTTTATTTATAATACTGAATTTCAAAGGTTGTACATAGGGTGGTTTCTCGTTTTTAAAAACGATGGAAAAAAGTTTTTAGTTTGTTTTTCTTTTATTCTGAAAACAGTTCTTTCTTTTTTGAAAAAAAATCTTTTATGCAAACGAACCGCTCGTTTTGAACTTTTGAAACCGAAAAACGACCGTAGGGATAGATCGTGAAAACGATCTATCCCTAGTTGTACACTATTAGCTTGCAAATAAATTGATATTTAAAAGATATCAAAGCTATTATTTTTATATAAAATTGCTTTAATTTAAAGGGGTTGCATTATTTTTGTACATTTATTGGTCAAAAGTTGCAGAATTTTGTGGCACATGATATGATCTCTACAATGAACCGTATACCTCGTTGTACAAAACCTGAAAAACTCGCCATATTTTATTGTAAAATTGCTTAATGTTACTTTAATGACGCAAAACATTTTCAAGTTGTTAAAAAATATTTCTAATATTTGAATAGAAAATAGTTCAAAAACAGAAATATTTGTATCCTTGTTTATTGCAATTTGTGACCTTGAACCTTGAATCCAGGAAAATTTGAATTTAATTTTCCGAATATTTGATTGGCTTAATTGATCAACAAAAACAGAGGCGCGAGGGGTGATTTTCATATTGGGGACTTCCAATTTCAATCCCAACCCTCGACTTTTCCTCATGTATCCTTAAAAACTTTTAAAAGTAAAAACAATATGTTCAACAAGGAAATGATTACTCAAACTTTATTGTTCTAAATCTTTGGATATTGCATTCAAATTATGAATTCTGCAAGATCAGATAAGCGCTAAAACACTGGACCAGTCAGGCTGGAAAGGGTTTTACTTTTAGAAAATTAAAAATCAAGATAAGAATTTCTTTCTTTTAATCATATTTACCGAGATGTTTGTGTATCCAGGATAATCATAAGCTTCACCGAGTCCTTGATCAACTTCTTCTTCATCCTCTAGACCCTCGTCATCATCCGGACCTTCATCTTCAACCAGACCTCCATCATCATCAAGGATAAATTCATGCTCCAGCCTTTCAAACTTATCACTCTCAACTGGACATAAACAAGTTATTTATAGTTTTCACAATGTAAACCCTGTCCTGCTCTCACGGGCGTATACACTCATTTGTACAGGGGGAAAGGGTTTTGACTACTTTATCTGTCATGATCGCTACCTATCCTACTTTACCTGTCTAATCTCTACCTATCCTACTCTACCTGCCCTAATATCTACTTGCTCTACTCTACCCGTCCTACTCTCTACCTATCCTACTCTACCTGCCCTAATCTTTACCTGTCCTACTCTATCTGTCCTAATCTCTACCTTCCCTAATCTCTACCTTCCCTAATCTCTACCTTCCCCAATTTCTACTTGTCCTACCCTAACTGTCTTACGCTACCTGTCCTACTCTACCTTTCTTACTCTAACTGTCCTACTCTTCTTGTTCTAATCTCTACCTGACTTACTCTTTCTGTCCTACTTTACATGCCCTAATCTCAACCTGTCCTACTCTCTTTCTGTCCTCCTCTCTATATGTCCTACTCTCTATCTGTCCTACTCTCTATCTGTCCTACTCTCTATTTGTCCTCCTCTCTATCTGACCTACTCTATATCTGTCCTACTCTCTATCTGTCTATATGTCCTAATCTGGGCCTGTTCGACTTTCTAATTGTCCGATCTGTCCCACTCTCTCTATCTGTTCTGTCCCACTCTCTCTACCTGTCCTACTCTACCATGTCTATTCATTTCTATTAATATGTTTCATTTATGCAAGGTTAACGATGCGACTTTGGAACCTCGTTGCTCCTCTAGTTTTCAGTTTACGCCCAAGTAAGAGAAAATGGATTGTATGTGGCAGCTTAATGGACATTTTAAACCTTTTTTAATCTCATTCTATAAATTTTCAAAAAGAGGAGTTATTTTTTAAAATATGTAAGATTTTTCATCAGGCATTAAATTTACAATCATTTAATGTGATACCTGTCATATCCTGATCCTCCGAGAATGTATGCTGTAATCTACCAAATCCAAAGGGTGACTTATCTTAAAAAAAAGCTTATACAATTTTTGAAATGAAAAAGAATTTTTCATTTGGTAATTCTTTAAATTTTTTATTTTAATTTTGAGATGTACAAAAAAGTTAAACGTCAAATTAATCCAAAAAATATTTAGAAATTAGAAATTATCGTAATAATCAATCAACTATACCGTTTGGCATTTTTTAGACAAAAAGCAATGTGAGTATAATTAAGGTGAGGTGAAAGGTTTGTGTACGTTTATTACAACACATTTAAAGGACGGCTAGGAACTTCTTTTATCAAAACAATAACAAAGATTGTAAACAAAGGTCGGACTTTTTGCGTCGGCGGTCCTAATACGTCACAGTAAAATGTACGCCACCACCTTTCATCTAATGAAGCATTTGGGAATGTTTCCTTTTTATGCCTGTAGCATTAGTATGGATATACTCGTGTATACCTTTAGTATTAGTATCGATATACTCGCGTATACCTGTAGTATTAGTATCGATATACTCGCGTATACCTGTAGTATTAGTATCGATATACTTGTGTATACCTTTAGTATTAGTATCGATATACTCGCGTATACCTGTAGTATTAGTATCGATATACTCGCGTATACCTGTAGTATTAGTATCGATATACTCATGTATACCTGTAGTATTAGTATCGATATACTCGCGTATACCTGTAGTAGTAGTATCGATATACTCGTGCATACCTGTAGTATTAGTATCGATATACTCGCGTATACCTCTAGTATTAGTATCGATATACTTGTGTATACCTGTAGTATTAGTATCGATATACTCGTGTATACCTGTAGCATTAGTATCGATATACTCGCGTATACCTGTAGTATTAGTATCGATATACTCGCGTATACCTGTAGTATTAGTATCGATATACTCGCGTATACCTGTAGTATTAGTATCGATATACTCGCGTATACCTGTAGTATTAGTATCGATATACTCGCGTATACCTGTAGTATTAGTATCGATATACTCGCGTATACCTGTAGTATTAGTATCGATATACTCGCGTATACCTGTAGTATTAGTATCGATATACTCGCGTATACCTGTAGTATTAGTATCGATATACTCGCGTATACCTGTAGTATTAGTATCGATATACTCGCGTATACCTGTAGTATTAGTATCGATATACTCGCGTATACCTGTAGTATTAGTATCGATATACTCGCGTATACCTGTAGTATTAGTATCGATATACTCGCGTATACCTGTAGTATTAGTATCGATATACTCGCGTATACCTGTAGTATTAGTATCGATATACTCGCGTATACCTGTAGTATTAGTATCGATANACAGGGGGGGGTCAAATCCCCCCCCCCCCAGCGGGAATAGGGTTAAACAAGTTATAAATTTTCAATTCAATAAGTTTTGTTTTGATTTCTTTATCTTATTTAAGCAATGAAAACAAAAAAGAACGATTTAAAATCTTCTAAACAATCTTGATCGTTCATGAACAATTTCTAAATTGTTCGTCCAAACAAACTTGAAAAAAACGATCGTTTTTAAATGAACGAACAAAGTTTCCAAAAGATTAAAAAACTTTCGTTTTTTTACTGAATCGATTTTTTTGAAGGATTGAAAAAACTAAAAAAAAAAGTCGATCACGCACAATGACCAAACGAAATGAAAACAAGCTAAACGTACCAATCTCTTCAGATATCTTTTTAAAAAGATTTTGGACTTTTACACTTATTTTTGAAACCAATTATAGATATATTAGAAACCGTCAAATCTGTGAAGTGCACTGTTTTTGTGAGAAATATAAACAAACAAATTTTAGTTTACAGGGTGTCCCACATCATATTAGATTGTTTTTAGCTTAAGATTGCGATTTTCGGAACTAATCAGAAAATTTAAAAATAAATTGTATATTGCTAATATAAAAATTTGCATGCAGAAAATTCTTGGTTTTTCGAGTATTGTATGTGTGTAAAATTTTGGCGTTAAAGCTTGGCGATAATCCAATATGATATGGGACGCTCTTTATATTCCATAGAAATTGCCGTAGACTTTTTGTAAATAAAACATCAACACAACAACTATACATGGTCCTCTACAAGTAAGGAGACATTGATGGAGATTTTGAATTTTTATGTTTAATAAATGTCTCTTAAATCTAAAATTTTGTGGAAAACCCTGTAGGATTGATCTAGGCTATAAATATGCAGGCGTCAGTCTCTTTTAGACCAAATGCTTCAGCCTCCTTTCTTGTAAAGGACTCGATCTCTCGTTGCTTCAATGCTTTGATTTCTTTCTCCTTCCAAGCTTCAATTTCTTTCTCATTCCAAGCTTCAATTTCTTTTGCCTTCCAAGCTTCAGTTTCTTTTTCCTCCCCAGCTTCCATTTCTTTTTCCTTCCCAGCTTCCATTTCTTTTTCCTTCCCAGCTTCCATTTCTTTTTCCTTCCCAAGCTTCAATTTCTTTTGCCTTCCAAGCTTCAGTTTCTTTTTCCTCCCCAGCTTCCATTTCTTTTTCCTTCCCAGCTTCCATTTCTTTTTCCTTCCCAGCTTCCATTTCTTTTTCCTTCCCTGTTTTGGTTTCAGCTTCTTTTTCGTTTGTTGCCTCTGTTTCTTTCTCCTTCCAGATTCCAATTTCTTTCTCTTTCCATGTTTTGACCATTTTCTCTTTGGTTGCTTCAGCTTCTTTTTCTTTCAATGCTTCTGCCTCTTCTTTTTTTTTGGCGTATTCTGCTTCTTGATGTTTCGGTATCTGTTGGACCAGCTGACCAGCTTCAGGGTCAGCTTTCTCGTTTGGCATCATCAACACGTAGATAGGTTGAACACCGTTCCTAAACATTAACATTTAGATGAATTGAACTCTGGTCCTAAACATATTGATATTTAGCCAGGTTGAACACCGTTCCTAAACGTTAACATTTAGAAAGAGGTTAAACACCGTTCCGAAACATTAATATTAATAATGATAATATAATAATAATAATAATAATAATAATAATAATAATAATAATAATAATAATAACAATAATAATAATAACAATAATAATAACAATAAAAATTAAAATAATTGTAATACTAATAATGATTGAAATAATACAAATACTAGTACAATTAAATTATCATAACAAAAACTATAATAGTAAAATTACAATAGTGGTTATAGTTAAACAAAAGTATATTAGTAATAAGAACAATCATATCATAATTGTGATAAAATATTTACTTCTCATTGTCCATTTTTTCCCCGAGAAGTTTCTTCTTTTTCTGAATTTCAATGTGCTCTAAAATCCTGAACATAAACAGTTAGACATATTGCCAAGCAAACGTTAATATAAGTTAAGTGTAAATAAATAGGGTGTAGTGTACACAGCATACATATTGTGATTAAGTCATAAATAGAATTTAGATCTAATATAATTAAACTTCTAGTAAAAAGACAGATTAATGACTGCACTCATTTCGCTTGAATCAGTGTGTCAAGGTTTTAGTGCAAAAAAGTTAATTGCAGTTGCGTATACTCTGCGTACATATTGAAACCAGTTCTCTGTGGGCGGACTTTGTAACAAGAATAGATGTTCATCTAGTATCCGAGGAGGTTAAAAGCATTACATTTGAAATGTGCGCTTTAGTATGAACTCTATGATATGTGCACACGTACTGACACAACATATTTACATTATAGATTTTGTATAATGTGATATGTGAACACCAATATGTAAATTATTACATATATATATACTATGATATGTCAATAAAAGACATGTTCACAAAAAAATGTACACAATGATGTGTGCAATATTATTTTTGATTTTGGACACTATAGATGTTGTACAATGCATACATAATAAATAAAATATGATCCATGTATAACATATTTTTTATACTATGTACACAATTTTATGTACAATAAAAGATTAACACAATGTTTCTTACACTATGTACCCAATGATACCTGGCATCTAGGTCGTCCACTGTGATTAAGCAGATGAAGACGATTAATCCAAACATCAGAGCCGTGTACAGATCTTCATTTGATTCTAATCATTTTAAAGCCAATTTTTTTCCGTACTAAATATTTTTCAACACGGTTTTCATGCAAATATGTAATTTCCCGATTCACAACGATACGCTCGAAACCTTTGTCAATTTTGAATTTAAGATATAGAACATATAATTCATACTTGATCAGAGAAAGCTTTTAAGGAAAACGTTGTGAATCGAGCTTTGCCATCTTTTCATGAAGGTTCACTTTAAATTACGCTTACAGTCCCTTTAAATTATATTAAAAGAGCTAACCTAATTCACAATATTACAAAGCAACGAAACCTATTGTAAATTCCTCTGTCCAGAACGCATTAAGAACAAAAATATCTCAATCATGTTCTTCTTTACCATATGTTGTGAAACTTTCAATGCACTTTTACATAGCAAATTTTAAAACGTACCGTATTTTTCTTCCTCGTCGATTGACATGTTGATTCTACTCTTTCTGAAAAAATAAAATTTGTTTAAACTTGTAACCCCCCCCCCCTTCATGGCTGTTTCTAGCCTGTCAACCTTGACTGGAAAAAGTGCGTGCGTCCCTTTCTGGCTTGGAGGCCTGGAATTTTAACGTTCATAGGATGAATTATCGACATCTAGAAATAAACGTTTTTTACACCATTGCTTTTATTTCTTAGAAACTGTAACTAAACAGTTGACAGTTTATAAGGCGTGTTTTATAGTCATTTAAAGTCAAGCTTTTAAAACCATGTAAAACTCTGATATTACTAAAAAAAATTCCTTTCAAAATAAAAAAAAACCGTGCCCTCTACATTTAAACACATTTTTATATAGAAAATGTCTTTTAATAAACAAATTTCTGAAAATATAGAATTGTATTAATTCAAGGGATCAAGCCAGCCTTTTTTTGTGTCAGAGATTAGGGAGGGGAGGAAGGCAGATCTTATAGGGTCGGGAGTAAAATAAATTTGAATCATATTTTTTTTTCATTACTTTTCCTGATAGAAAATTAAACATTTTCTAAAAATTGTCCGATGTCGAAGCAAACTGAAATAATGGGTTAAAATTAAGTTTGAAAAATGTTCAGCGATAAAAAATGTCGAAAACATTTTTATATGTCCCTTATGAAAGTCACAGATTTTGTCATTTAGGCTAAAATCTTTTAAATGACCAAATGATTTGAGATCGTAAAGTGAGTTCAAGTTTTCAAGACCAGCTCAGTAAAAAAAATTTAAAAAAATAAAAACATCAAAATAATTTTAAAATTCAAATTTTAATTTTGAGGGCTGTACAAAATTTTAAAAAAGTTGTAGGCTATAATTTCTTAATTCTTTTTTTAAAATTCCAACTAGCCTTTTAACCGTCCTCCAAGCTTTACCCTATGTCCGGCGAAAGTATTTTTTCCTTCAGAACTTGCTAAAATTTTGAACATCTTCTAAATTTGATCCAATATATATGGGAGAGTCAGTTAATTTTGTAATTTTCTTTTTACATTTGGAGTTATGGGAGGTATTAAGAGTATATGGAGAAGGGGGCGTTGGGGTAGGGGGTATAGGGGGTAAATTTAACAAGCATCAAACATATCTCATTTTCCTAGAATTTTGAAAAATTCTTTCATACACATTTATTTATGTATTATCTAAAGACGTCGATATCGACGTTTTTATACAGTATCATTTCCGACATTTTCGATTTCGACGGACTTAAAAGTGGCAATGAAAACCTAACTTATAGTGACTAATAAAATCAAATATCAATGTAAAATAAAAATTCATTATATATGGACACAAATAGATCAAAGAGATTGAAAAACTAATTGTTTTTATCCTGTTTTACTTTTTCCTATATTTTCGACTTGTCTTTGCATTACGATTAGATCTGAGAGACTTATAATGGGGAGTACACTGGGGCCTTTATGGACATTATTTAAACTAGTCGTATTTGAGAAATTATTTAAACTAGTCTGACCTATTGTATTTGAGAAATTATTTAAACTAGTCTGACCTATTGTATTTGAGAAATTATTTAAACTAGTCTGACCTATTGTATTTGAGAAATTATTTAAACTAGTCTGACCTATTGTATTTGAGAAATTATCGGAACCAAAACTTTTAATAGACAGGGCACAGGGTGTCACAAAGTTAGGTGTCCATATCGAAATTTTCGCCCATTTCTGGTTTGTAATAATAGAAGTTTGTAATATTTCTTCTCAATTATGAGGGTGGAAAAGTGAAAAGTTTCACACAAGGGGGTGTGTGAAATCCCCCCCCCCTTTAATCAGAATCAATATAAAATTTTTCTAAAAAGTAAAAAAGAAAATTCATCTCATGTAATCAAAAAAACATTTGAAAACGAGTTTAAGATTATTTTGGGCTATGGATGGGTCAATGTAAAGTTTGCCATACGAACACCATTTGAAAGATAATATTGGTCATTGCTCACAGCTTCTCTTGACTGATATTCATATGCTTCTTTCTCTCCTACTCTCGATCCCCCCCCCCTTTCATGTATGGTTCCCCCCTCCCTTTCCCAATCCTGTATTCTACGTTACTGCCCCCTCCCCCCTTCTCTCTTTGGTTGTCATGGATATATTTGTTATCAAAACATACACTGAGAAGAGAGGATCATATGGATAGATAGATAGATATATATTCATGTATATAGATATATATTTACATATATACAGGGTGTCCCAAAAAACATGGGAATTCAGTGACGAATTCGATAACGTCTTTGTTATGAATTAGCATTGTAATAGCTAATTTTAAAAGCCATAATATTATTATGTCTGCTAGAGTTTATTTTATGAAAAGGATAAAAGACTGCACAGATGTGTCTATGATGTCTCCGCAAGATGAACAGTGAAGACGGACAAGTTTACTCTGTTTGTAAACAGCAATTTTCTTGTTTTACTAAGTACAACCGTATGCAGTCAAAACATAAACAAACAAAATATGAAGGTAGCAGACGAAACTCTTAGAGATTACAGCTTTCTCAGAAGGTATCACCATACTAAATCAAAGAATTATTTGAAAAGACGATATCGAATTCGTCACTGAATTCCCATGTTTATTGGGACACCCTGTAGATAGATAAGTAGATAGACGAATAGATAGATAGATAGACAGACATATCTAAAGACAGAAAATTTACTCTATTACTATCTCATGAGCAAGGGCAGCAAGAAGAAATTTAAAGATTTCAATTCATAATTTTTTACCAGGTCAGAAACTTTAAAAGTGCATTCACCAGAAATTCAGAGTGCTTCGTGTTTTTTTTCTTTTTCTAGCGTATAGTCTAGTAATTTCCTTTTTTAGTTTATCAGTGATTTTGATTACAATTGTTTCTACCAATTTAAAAATACCAGTATCTTTTAAGATTATAGTTAACAATAGCAGTATTTAAAAACATGCTTTAAGTAATTAATTGCAGAAGAGATTTGAAAATATGAAATTTCACACCGTCTCCGCTGAATACGTAACACAATGTAACACAAATTGAGTTCGAAGGCTGTTATTTCTAAAATTTATTTGAAATATTTTTGCAAATAAATCATTATTATCCTAGTCATGACATTAACTGCATCGTTGTAAACAGGGGAGTGGCAAATTCGAATTTAATTACTACATGTTTAATTACTACATGTTTAATTACTACATGTTTAATTACTACATGTTTAATTACTACATGTTTAATTTATCAATTAGATAAAACAAGTAATCAACATCTTAATCAGAGTTATTATTAATTAACATGGTTCAGTATTCAAAATATTGGTCTTTTTAGTAATTCTTAAATGGCCTGCTTTAAATTTGGTATTTTCCCTGCTTTTATTTTTAGAAATACCATAGTTAGGCTAGGGTACCATCTTATAGATTTCAAACTATTTAGATTTATCTAATTATTACTTTATTTTTTTGTGCCTTTGTTGATTTCCGGTAAATGTTCTTTGTAAATTAAAAGTGATCTTCCGTTAAAAAGTGGAATGTACGATTCAAAATTCAGGATTCGCCTGTAGTTAAACCTCCATCTGAGTATGAATTAATACAAGTAAAAATATATCGTTGTTTTTCCTTCTTGAAAAATGTATAATTCTGACAATTTCCTTCATTGCCTCTGCAACATAAATTTGTAAGTTTCTTTATATAAAAAAACAGTGTTGAAATTACGTTCAGATGGAAAATAGGAAATCTCTTTTATCCTTGATCTGGCGCAAGATAAAAGGGTGTTGTTGTGAATCGAAACAATACCCCAGTGTAGTAAAGTATCTTCTACAGTTTCTTAAGATTGCTGTCTATCTATCTATCTTTATTATTTCATGCTTTGTAAAGGAAATACAAGCCTCACGATTTTTCCTGACTTTCACACTAAACTGACGTAATCTTTTCTTCAAAATTCGGTTTGCTTAAATACTAAAATTCAAAAAAAATCGTCGTCGTATACATCAATCAATACAATGAAAAAGAATTTCGATTCAATTTAACAGAATAGATCAATATGGAAACAAAAAGAAGTTGTCAATTAACAGCTTTTCTTTGTTATTATAAACTTGTACATTGAAAAAAGCTTGTTTATAGAAATCAAAACTAGAAATAAAAGTCGTCTTCATAGTATTGATAAAAACGCCCCGACCACTGTTTTATATATTACAGATAATGTTATTTGCAATATAAACAAATTTTGTTCATATATAAACAAAAAAAACATAAAAAACTCTCAAGAATAAAAAAGTCAAAAATCAAAGACAACATACAGGGTTACCCACAAAGGATGAGACTTCAGAGACGAATGTACAGAATTTATTCGGCCTACTTCCTTATATTTAGGATTCTCTGCAACTTTCTTTCGTTGCCATGTCAATAAATAGGCAATTAAAAGACAATATTCAAGACAAAAGAATTAATTTAACCATCGTCATATTTCATGGGGTTCAGGTCGTCTTTACAGTCTCATCCTTTGTGGGTAACCCAGTATAATCCAAATTATTACATATATATCGAAACACTATAAATACAGTGCTAACAAACTAAAAAATAACCAATTACAATTTTCTGAGAAAGGTCAAATGAACTTAAAATATAAAACATTTTAAAGACTTAAAATCATTCTAAAATTCTAAAAACTCATGGAGTATGATTTTACCAACGTTTCAAACCCACTTATTAAAAAAATCTTAAGGTTAAAAATATAAAAAGAACTTATCGAGAAACTTTTTCTTTTTACTTAAATTTGCCTTCAAATGAAAAATGCTAAGTCAACAATCCTAACCCCAGTGCCATTGTTGTTTGAAGACAAATGAAAGCTTTTTGAATGGAAACCTGGAAGAGAAATTTACACTTATTTCAATTAAAAATAGCTGGGATTTGAAGACAACCTTAAAAAAACATTCATAAAATAAATTAAATATATTTTTTATTCTCTGTAAATTTCATGCATTTTTAAGCTGAAAATTAACCAAAATAGCACTTATTTTGAAATACATCCGTTCTTTGTTCTTTTTTAATTAATCGTTTGTAAAAGATTTAAAATTAACGGTTTTTGCCGTTCGTTAACGGACTCTTTCGTTAATTTTCAAAAACGTTTGTTAACGGGACGTTGCCCAGCCTTGTCCATTATAGGAGAAGTCAGAACTCATAGCATAGTTTCAGTTATTTTTCTCAAGGGTGTGTTCAGACCAATTCCAGACACTTTAGCCATTTTTGCAATTGTTTTTTACTTGTACATGGGTAATTGACCTTTGTGCCCCCCCCCCCTCATGAACCCATCTTCTAAGTCCCTGTTCAAAGTAAAAATAAATTTTCTATTAGATTCCAATTATAGAATACAGAGGATCATTAGCACGCTTCTCAACTTCTCAGACCTTGCATTCAACAGAATTGATCCCAGTGTCACATTCTATAGCTTACTGTCCACTCCAGGCTAGTATTATGGTAGAGCTCTAGACCTAGGGCTGGACCTGTTAACCTGATGTACACACATTGAGCACAGGACTTTTCACTTTCCCTCAGGAATATTCTAGGTTGGATCTCAGCATGAGTTGGAGGGGAATATTCATTGATTCATCATTTCATATCTAAATGTAGCTTAATTTAATTAGAAAAAGTAATATTCTTCCTTTCCCATTTTGAAAAAATTATATATTTCGATCCTTATTTCTAGAGTTTCTGCAGTACAAGAATGCAAGTTGGAAATTATTGCAACTACCTTGCAAATTGATTGGTGCAATTTCAGTGCACTTGTTGCAAATTCTTATCGATTTAACAAATAGAAAAAAGTCTGTAAAATTCTTCTGATCTTACCATAGGCTTTCCCGGTAGAAAGAAAGGGACAAAACGTCTAACAATTTGCTTGTTTGTCTGTCTGTTTGCGTCCAATAAACGTCAAAACGGCTGAACCGATCGGACACAAATTTTTGTTGTGGCAATTAATTTGACCCTGCACTGAACAATTATGGAACATCAAAGTTGAACAATTTGGTCCGAAAAAAAAACAGTAATAACAAAAATGCGCAAAATCCGCAACAATTTGAAAATGATTAAAAACGGCCATTTTCAGACCAAAAATTAAAGCTAACATTTTTAAAAGCAAAGGGGATCTAGTTTTCTAATTTTGTATTCACAACTTTGGAAACAATTTTTGTAACTATTAAAATTCCCTCTCACACGGTCCAAAAGATAACATTACAATGGTTACGTTTTCTGAACTAAACAAGATCATGTAAAAGAACAATTGAGGAAAAATTCTATCATAAATTGTTTCAACATTTTATAAATGTCGGATTAGAATAAAAATATGCCTTTTGAAAAATGAATATTTTGCTGAATGATGAAAATATTGATTAAACAAGTCTGCATGCATTCAATGTTTTATCTAATATATTAATAGCTTTTTTCAGCTTGTAACATGCAGATTGCAGAGGGGAACATATAGAAATACTTACATTTTCATTATTCAAGGCTTTTCTTTTCAATATTCAAGCATTTTGGCGACGCTTTCCTTTTCAATGTTCAAACATTTAGGGGACACTTTTCTTTTCAATATTCAAGCATTTAGGGGACACTTTTCTTTTTAATTTTTAAGCATTTAGGGGACACTTTCCTTTTCAATGTTCAAGCATTTAGGGGACACCTTCCTTTTCAATATTTAATCATTTTGGGGGCACTTTCTTTTTCAATATTCAAGACCTTCCTTTCCAATTTTTAAACATATTTGGGAGACTTAAATTTTCAATAATATTAAAAAATAATTTTACTAAAACAAATAAAGTGTTTTTAAAAATACCACTTCAGACGACGACTTTACAAAATTTATTTTAGTTTTTTTACTCTCAAATTATCAATGATGTTTAAAAAATAATTTGTACTAATTTGTATATATCTACATTTTAGGTATATATGTATATGTAAAATAAAAATTCTAAATCATAATAGTTGCATCATTAGATAATAAAGAAATAGTGTGAAAAGTTGCTTAATTTGGAGGATTTGTGCAGTTCCACTGTTGTAATCCAGTAATCTAGTCTCCAGACCTTCATAAACCTGCAAGGTTAATCAGTTCATTTCAGGCCTCAGCTAAACCTCTACAGTACACTTTAAGCTTAATCATTAAAAAGTTATATCGCACAAAAAAAATAAACAAATAGGACTCGGCCACGCATTTTGTGTTATTTATCAAAGGGAGTGACCGGCTATGTAAGGTAGTTGAACTGAGTATGCAGTGTTGTGGAAAACTTCTTTCGGATTCATTTGAGATCTGTAAATCTTGAGTTTGAGCGCAAATTCGACGTTCAAAACTCCTACTTTGGGGGTGGATAGGTTTGCAGAATTAGTTTTTTTAAATTATTAAATAACGACAACGAAAAATAAAATAAATATTATACAGTAATCTAATTAGATGGTTAGGAACATATTTATCAAAAAAAAAATTTGTCAATAAATCAATGCTAAAATCGATTATTTCGTTTTCATAATTATATTGATTTCTTATTTTCTTTGAATTTATTCGCAGATTTCTTCAAATTCTTCAAATGTTGTCTTTTCAATAATAATTGTAAAAAATCTGCAGAAAATCTTTGTAAATAATGAGAAACCAGAATAATGAGAAAATAGAAACTAATAATTGAACAAGATTACATATTTTCGATGATAAGAATAATTTTTATTTTCTCAACATGACGTTTGTAGTTTGATGTACAAAAAACTAATTCTGAAAACGGAAGAGTTTTGAATATCGATTTTGCTCTCAAACTCAGGATTTTTCAGAAGTTTCAGAAGTTTTCCACACATATTAAGTTCAACTACCTTACATAGGCGGTCACTCCCTTTAAGTAACATTTAATTAGTTACAATTCTAGAATCGAAAGGAGTTAAGTTGTTTAGCAAATATAAAATTGCTTTTTTTTAATTATCATTTCTCAAGAAATTTTTTTGTTGTTGTATTGTAGATGAATCAAAGTAATATTACACTACAATCAATATTGAATAAAAGCCAGTTATTACAAAAAAAATCTTTAAGTATTGTAATTTCAGCGTAAATAACAAGTGACCTCTAGGCACCAATTTATAACGGTACCCATTAGCTTTGTCTGATGGTATGTATATGTTGTTGTTTTTGAAAACTGTGAGGTTTTTCTATAATTTTGACTTGATTTTACTTCAGAACAAAGTTACAGAATTAAAATTAGAAATACAGCGCTGGAAGTTTCATATTATTTATCATTTTTAAAAATCTAACTTCACAGTGTTAAGGGCGCCAGGAAGGTTTTAAAAAAATGAAGAAATAAATACATCGAAAAAGTAAAATTAAATTATCAACCTGCTATATACCCTTTGAGAGAGTGCAAATACTAGAGGACTATAGAAGAAGCAGTTTTTAACAAACTTAAAGATTCAGAATGCTTTCTTCATTTTCCGCAACATCTGCAACACCACTTTAGCTTGACAACAACGAAAAAAAAGAGTTGTGATAATTCAATAATGTTATTGAGTTGTTTATTGAAAATTCTAAAATAAAAAATATAGCCCGGAGACAAATTGTGACTAACCACAGCAAATCAAAATAAAAATATCAGTATTTCATTTTTCATTCTTAGAAAATAATTCTAAATGCTAAATATAATTATCAAAGTTTCTTTTTTCAGATTTAATAGTAGTCGTGTATACTGTATTAGCGATCAATATAATAGAAATGAAAATATTACTGAAAGATTTGAAGTGTACTGATTGACGAATGACAAAGCAACAAGAAAAACCGGAAAGTAACTCCTCTAACCTACTATCCGTTTATAAACTATAGTTCACTACTATTAATGGGGTAAGATATTAAGATTTAAAGAAAATACAAACCATAATATTAGATTTTTGTTGCACTCTACACTAAACGCAACAAAATCTTAGGACAGAGTAATATTATAACTTTTTTAATTTATTTTAATTAAATTTTAAAATATTTTTAAATTTCAATATGATATCAGATGGAAACATTTTGAAACTTTATATTTCTTGTTTTTCATTCTTTATTCTTGATCGTCCATTCCTCGTCCATCCTTCAATCATTTTTCAGCTAATAATGAAGATAAGAATAAATGAATTTTTGGATGTTTTCTGCAGCCAGCCAAATTGCAGAGACAGTACTATTTTTCAAGCCCTGTATCTATATACTGAGAGTGGTAAGGTTACTCTCTCCCCTTGTTAGTTTTAAATTTTGCTTGGGTCATGTTATTGCGTCTAAAATTGGGGGGGGGGGAAGCGGTGATGGGGGCGTTTTATACATTTTCCAGTTTTTTTTCTCGAGTAGGACATAGAGGGGGGGATTCCCGTCTGCCATTCTGTGTATTTGTCTTTATTCGCTATTTGGTGAAAAAAAGTTAGACAGTGTAAAGCTCAAATTCCCTTCTACTATAGATTACTGCAGAACACACTAAAAGCTTTGTTGTGGGTGGTTGGATTTTTTTGAAAAAAAAAACTATTTGAAGGCCAGCCTAATTTTATTTGTAAGATATAGAATTTATAAAACAACAAAAATTCCGTCAAACCTAAAAATTAATTTTATACAGGGTTACCCACAAAAGATGACACATTAATGACGACCTAAAACTCTTTAGCTACAGCATTATAAAAATCGAATATGAATTCAATACAATCTTTAAATCCATGCAGTCGTCTCTGAAGTTTTATCCATTGTAGGTAACCCTGCATCTTAAAAATACCTAAAGCAGATTTTCTTAAGATTTACTTAAGTTATTATGTATTTTAATATTTTGTAAAATAATAATTTAAATCAACAATAGTGCTAATTAATGCCCGAATGCATGTTTTTGCAAAATTAATCCAAAAACAAATTTCTCGAGTTTTCATTTTATAATTTATTCTACGTCTGAGGGGGAAAGGAAAACATACAGAGACTGAAGCAATTAATTTTAATGAGGGGGGGGGGGACACCACCTAGCTATTTTGTGATGACCTGAATGGCTGCGGAACGGGGGGTTAGGTTTTTATTCAACAATTTTTCATATTTCTTCGTAATAAAATGGTTGACAAAAAGAAATATATTTGTTTTCAAAAATGTAAGTAGTTACATATCCTAAGCTGAAAACTTCAGATATGTGGATATTGAGATCTCTTCTTTGTATTAATCTCAAGATTAATTTAATCTTTATTTTGAGTCCAGAAAAGTGTATACAATTCAACCAATCCCGGACAGACAATCAGTTATTGGGAAATTTGAAATATTGCGCTAGAATTTTATGAGAGAACTCTCATTTGTTGGAATATGATTGGAATATTCATAGAGAGAGAAAAAGGCGAATTTATAGCAGGAAATTAAAAGTGTCCACGTTGAATATTGAGATTAAGCGATCAGGATTATGGGTATCCAATTCTAAAGTTCCCAGCCTAGAACACTAAAAGATATTTAACAAAAAATGTATCTCTCTTCTCTTGAGTAACAACATATATCTAATAAGTGACTTTTAACTGTTTTGACACTAGAGGTCCGTAACTTCTGAGTGCTTTAGAATTTTGAAACTCCACAGGCAACACCGGGAAGCTTGTTAAAAATATAATAATACTAATGTTAAGGAGAGACGAAATTTTAACATATTGCAAATTATATCTAACTGTAAAAAAAGAGGGTGCTCGGACGTTAAACTCAAGGGAAAACTTTATAATGAGATTGTGTAGAGGGTAAAAGAGAGAGGAGAGGAGGGGAGCTAATCCATGCATAAAAATTGACCATATGCAAATATCTTTAGTAGAAGGGGTGAAGAATTACAAGAGTTGGTAGTACAGGGTACTTTGATTTAAAGTAGGTTTCACTCGAAAAAAAATTCATATTACGATCAGCAAACAATACTATTTATCCTATTTATCCTATGTATCCTATCTATCCTATCTATCCTATCTATCTATCCTTCTATCCTATCTATCCTATCTATTCTATATCTATTCTATTTATCCTTTTTATCCTATTTATCCTATCTATTCAATCTATAGTATCAATCTATCTATGCTATCTATCCAAAATATTCTATCTATATTATCAATCTATATTTGCTATCTATGCTATCTATCCTATCTACCCTATCTATGCTATTTATGCTTGATGGTATCTATCCTATAATCCTAATTATCCTATCTCGGAAAAAGCCACAGCGGTGAATTATCTGACAAAAAACATAGTTTAAAAAAATAAAACCATGCTAACGCAACTCTTTCTCAAATACTTTGCTTAACGAGCCATGCTTCTTTTTGGAAACCCCCTCATGCATAAAATTACTTCAAAATTATTAATTTTTTTTCCAGAAAAATATATAAAGCCTTTTGTAACATTTAGACATTGATAAAGTTTACTAAATATAAACTATAATAGGATTCCAGGGCACTTTGCGCCTTTTTCTATTTTTCCAGTGTTGCTTTTTAACCGCCATTTTTTTACCGTACTCCATTAAAGTTTTTGAGAACCTTTTTGTTTGAATTGATGGATTTCAAATATCGTAAAAATGTTTATTCGCAACAAACTCAAAACTTGTCTTTGGGAATTTGTGTTTGAAAACAATTTGATTTTTAACATTTACCAATACAAATTTACAATCAGAAAAGTAAGTCAAGAAATTTTTTTGACTCTGCTTGGAATGTTATTATTTCGTTTTGAACCCATACAGGAAATTTCCAAAAGATTAATTATAACTGGTAATTTTATTTTTATTTAGTCAAAAAATGTTCTTGCTTAATTTTTATTTTTGTTTGACCTTTTACATGTTTTACTTTTATTTCAGAAAAAAAATTGAAATATTTAACTAAATTCGCCAAAAAGAAAATCAATTACTATTTGTCTGTTAGGAATTTTTTTCTCACACCAATATTTTAAAATATTTTTTTATGTTATCATGTCAGGTCCGATATTGATTTAAGCTTAAACTAATATCTTTATTATCCTTTACAGGGTTTCATTTTATTCTTTACTCATGCACGGGTACCTCTGAAGGGGAAAAATAATTTTCAGGCTTTCTTCTGAAATAGCTTTTATGTTGATTTTACGTATACAGTGTCACACAGTCTAGGAAGAAAAACGGGGAACTAAAAGAGGAGGAATTTTGGTCTTAAAATAAAAAAAAATGTTTCATAGTTCTAATCAAAGAAGAAAAATGCAGTAGGCACAATTTAAGACTCTCCGCGATGTGTTTGGGGTGAAGGGTGATTCAGCTGATATGTCCTCAAAGTACCAGTGATAACTTGCAGTTTTGAAAATGTTTACACACAGCAATATAGCATATTTCAAAGTACGACAGGGTGTCCCCGTTCAAGGAAAACATTTCATATTACTTATTATTTCAAACTTACAAAAAAGTTTTACGAAATCATAAACAAAACGTTTAGCATATAAAAATTTTAGGGATATAAATGTTTTATAATAAGACTTGAATGTAACGAAAACGGCTGTGCCACTTTTCCTGGGACTTTCGAATTTCCTTTAGCGTCAATTTTATTAAATAACAGCTTGGGAACCCAGAGCTCCTAAGGTTACTAAAAGTTACTTACGCCGTTTAACCCCACTTGAACGATTTTACCGGGAAACTAAATTTTCACTATTAAAGTAGGGTGGAAATAGCTCGAAACTTAACTATAAACATTTCTGCGGTTCTCCCAAGTTCCCCAATCAAAATTTCAGCCAAATCTGTCAATGGGTTCCCGAGTTAAGATTGTACAAACAAACAGACAGACAGAAAAACAGAGATTACAACTTTATATATATATATATAGATTAATAAAATTTGATTAGTTTAAAAATTTATTTTTGTTTTATTGAGGGAATATAAAGAACATCTCTTTGCTTATTTTTGAACCTTTTAGTCTTAAATGGTCAATATCCCTATCCCGCGGTTGGACTATTTTAGAATAATATAGGTGGGGGGGGGGCGGGGTTGAGGGGTTCACACCACGTCCTCGGTTCAACTTTTCAAAGACTGCTCATTAAAAAATTATACCTCTGACTTGGGTTAGGTTGGAAGGGAGGATTTTAAAATTGTTAGCTTTAAAGCTTAGTTAATGAATAAGCTGATAAGCGTTTCTGATTTTTTGCATGAAAAAATGGTAAAATATGTGAACTTTGATGTTAAAAAAGTAAAGAAGTTTAGCTTTCTAATGTCAGCCATTTTTAAGTTGTTTAGAAAAAACACAGGGGGGTATGAATCCCCCCCCCACAACCGTGATAGGGTTAAAAAACATAGACAATCAACAGTTTTAATGTTTATTTTGGAACTCCCTGTATTTTATACTTCCAGTCATTGGTAAATAAACATTAATCAAGGAGTATAGACAAAAACTGGCTGAAAGGGTTGGATATCATTGCAAGATCCAATCCTCTCACGTAAAACTAACTACAACAAAGTGTATCCTGATATCATGTTGGATAATATGTTGGATATCATCTTGGATATAATGTTAGATAACATGTTGGATATCATCTTGGATATCATGTTGGATAATATGTTGGATATCATCTTGGATATAATGTTAGATAACATGATGGATATCATCTTGGATATAATGTTAGATAACAAGATGGATATCATGTTGGATATCATGTATGAAGGATATAATGTTGGATATCATGTTTGATATCATGTTGTTTTTCATGTTGGAACATCGCCTTTTTTGATCTTATTTATGAAATATCGCTAAACATTTTGAAATTTTTTTGCTAAAATATTTCTGAACATCCTTATTAGATGCAACAATGGCAAATTACAAATGACTGTTACATTTATTAAGTCTTCTTAAAATAAATGGTTAATCTAACTAGATGTGTTACTG